AGTGAATAAGAACTAGTAACAAACAATTACATTTACAATAAACATCTAAAGACGTTTAACACTACTATGAAGAGAGATTTTCAGTAATTTGATTGGAATTTCTAACAATAAATATTAAAAATACGAGAGATGAAAAGGTTTTCGCGTTATTGAAATTCCATGGGTAAGGGATTAGTTTTCATTTAAAAAAATACTCGGGATTTACTTTAAATGTGATTCCAGAAATGTCGAATAACAGTTACTACCATCCCAAATTAAAATATGTAACTTGTGCTATTTTTTTTTTCATTTTTAAAAATAATACCGTTCAATGAAAATTTAAATAATAGATTGGAGAAAAAGTTTTTTTGCATTATAGTATGTATGAACTTTTAGTATAGTCTCTTTGGCTTTACCATCTGTATCCGACTGGTTTTAGTACAATTAAAAAGTTTAAATATTAAACAACGTAATTCCATATTAAAATTACAAAAATGTGTGATTTTCATTTGTTTTTCTCACTGTCAATATGAGTGAATGTAATGAAAAAAATAATTCCATAAATTTTAAAAATTTACTACATAAAGGTGAAAATGCAACGGAAGCCGCAAAACGAATATGTGATGTTTGTGGACCTAGTGCAATGTCTGTGAGAGTAGCACAAATTTTAGGTTTAAGCGTTTCCAATCCGGAAATTTTGATGTCAAGGATGGACGTCGCTCTGATCGCCCTGCTATGGATAAAATCGATGCCGGTTTTGAAAAAGTGGAGCATGATCGGCATATCAGTAGTAACGACGTAGCTGAAGAGCGTAGCGCATTTTGAAAAGCTGGGTAGATACTCAATTTTTGTATATTTGGGTGCCTCACGAGCTCACCGAAATGAACCTAATGAACCGTGTACTCATTTGCGATTCTTTATTACGAAGTAATGAAACCGAACCATTTTTGAAGAAGCTGATAACTGGTAAAGAGAAATGGATCACGCACGACAAAAATGTGCGAAAAAGCTCGTAGTCAAAGGCCGGTAAGGCTTCATAGACTCTGGCGAAACCCGGGTTAAGTCGTAACAAGGTGATGCTGTGTGTATGGTGGGATGAAAAGGGCATTATTATGAGCTGTTACCGCCAGGCAGGACTATCTGAACTCTACTGCGAAAAACTGGTGAGATTAAAGCAAGAAGTTGAGAGAAAGCCGCCGGAATTAATCAACAGATGGGGTGTGGTTTTTCATCATGATAACGCTATCTTTAGCCACTCAGCAAAAATTTAGAGAGTTTTGATTTTATTTATTTTTTAAGCATTTAACTGCTAGATGTTTAAATCTAAAGAAAAGTTTACTAGAAAAAAATCCAAAATTGCGAATTTGAAAATGCGAAGAGATGGCGCTGCCTTGCAGCTTAAGGCTAGGAAAATTTCGACGCGGCTAATAGGGCCGTGGTAGCATAATGGTCAGTGCATTCGCCCGGATAGCGATGGATGCGGGTTCGAGTCCCGTCCGCTGCCTGGTCCGCGTGGATTTTTTTCTAGTAAACTTTTCTTTAGAGAGTTTTACTGGGAGGTGATAATACATCCGCCGTATAGTCCTGGTTTCAGATTTCCACCTGTTTCCGTCTCTCTAGAATTCTTTAGGCAGTGTCAGGTTAACATCATGAGAGGACTCTCAAAACCACTCTTCGCGGTTTTGATCGGAAGCCCTAAAATTTCTATAGAAATGGGATCAAGTCTCTACCTACAAGATGGAAAAAGTTATCGAACAAAAGGGTACTTTCAGCTAAAGGTTAATAATCTAATATATAAAATTCTCGTGTCGCGGTGTTTGTGGTTAAACTCCTCCGAAACGGCTTTCCCGATTCTCATGAAATTTTGTGTGCATATTGGGTAGGTCTGTATTTTTCATCCCCTTAAATGTTAAGGGTAAATAATTAACCGCTAATTTTTTTTTTTCAATTTTAGATTTTTTTTTAATTTTTTTATGATACATCATACAAAAATACATACATCCCTAAATTTTCAACTTTCTACCACCAACCCCTATTTTTTTATGGCGGTACGAAGTTCGCTAGGTCAGCTAGTCTTATATATAAAATTCTCGTGTCACAATGTTAGTTACCATACTCCTCCGAAACGGCTTGACCGATTTTTATGAAATTTTATAAGCATATCCAGTAGGTCTGAGAATCGGACAACATCTATTTTTCATATCCCTAAGTGTTAAGGGTTGTCCATCCCTAACATTTATTTTTTGGGACATTTTTTTTATTGTTTGGCATTTAAAAATACATAGGTCCAGCCTAAGTTTTCACCTTTCTACCATCAAACCCTATTTTTATGGCGGTCCGAGTACGAAGTCCGCTAGGTCAGCTAGTCTTTATTAAAAAATATTTAGAATTTTCATATAAAATGCGAAGAAACTTTTTCCCCAACCTAATACATAGAGGTTCAAGATTACTGCGCCTGCACATCAATGAACGCCAAACTATAGATGAGATTAAACGATATATGAATAAGAAGACGATTTTATAAATAAGCTACTATTATATAGTTATTAACGTGAATCAGTCTGTTTCATCAGTTCTGTATTTGACACACAGTACATGGGCTGTTATTATTATAACACTGCAATCACTATTAGTATCTTACATCCTTTTCTGGCACTAATGAATGAGCGAGACGGTAAAGAGAGCCAACGCAATCGCTCCCGCTCTAGAGCATTACATTTCAATGCAACAGAAAAGGATGGAACGACATATATAAGCACAGTACACGTAGACGCAATCCAAATTTTATTTACAAACACATAAATATAGCAACTAGTGTTTATATATGTATATGGCTATTAAAAAGTAAGGCACGACCAATGTGTTAAGCATTCACTGTAAGAGTTGACATAGTATAATATTAGACTTGCAACGAATAGTATATTCGGCAGTATATTCGGCGAGGCCCCTGACCGAATAGCCGAATATTAGGAAAAAGTATTCGGCTGGATTTTAGCGCCAAAAATTTGTACAGATGTAATGGTTTCGCGCTCCTTTGTTTTGTTCTAATCTGCCGTCCTCAAGCTAAAATGCAGCTAAATGACAAAACCAACTTTTGAGATATGGCCAAAAACGGCGCGTAAACTTTAAATTATTGTTATTATGTAAGCATTCATCACATGACTGAATGAATTAAAAACTGTTAACTTGTTTAATACAGAAAATGATTAAATTATGTACCTGTTTTATGTTCCAATGACTACTTAATAAATGATTATAAAAGAAATGAGAACCTTACCCTTCTATATTTTGATTACCACAATAATTCAAATACATAGAATCCTCCATTTTTCCAATTCAGAAGATGATTATGTACCTGTGTTATGTACCAATGACTACTTAAATGATTATATAACAGAAATGAATATATGAATATATACGTAATCAATCGATTTTAATTTTTCATTTTACCAATTATTTCTCTATGACAAAATATATTATTTAAGTATTCGGTATTCGGCCGAATAATATGTAGATATTCGGTATTCGGCTGAATATAATAAAAGCAGCCGAATAGGCCGAATACCGAATAGTAACCGAATATTCGTTGCAAGTCTATATAATATCAATATGCTATCAAGTGTCAACACAGTATCACAGTAGCAAGTACTGTCAAGTGCATAAAGCACGTCAGACGTTACATTACAACGAACAGTATAAATTCTGCGAAATTTGAGTTTCGTACTTTGCACCCTTAACTGCTGAGGTTAACATTTGAATGGAGATGGTGATTCTTCTATAGAACATATCTGTGGTTACCGATGAGTGAGCCCAATTCAACAGACTTAGGGCGTGCGCTGCCTTAACTTTCGAATGACCCGGTGTAAGTCTGATACCTTAGGCACCTACTAAAAAATTCGGGAATGAAAAACAGAAGTGAAACTAAGTAATTTGTTTATGTAAAAAGAAAGTTTATGACTGATTTTATTACAGAAGCGTTGTTCTCTCCATAGAGACAAAAAGACGGTAATTCTTTACAGCAAGCAAATACTTTGTTATTTTGGACCAAATTGTTGTAGTCTGTAAATACTTAAGCGAGAGCACGGAGCGGGTGTTTCATGTTATTTCCCGATATGAACCGTAGCGGAGGCCCGCTCCGTGCTCCCGCTTAAGGCAGCGCACGCCTTTAGACCTTCCTACAGTATGACCAGATACAATATTTTAAAACTTTTTTGGGTATATTTTATCGACTTATTTCCAAAAAAATTAAATTGAAATATACCAACTTGTACAGGAAAATAATTATACAATTTGGATTTCAAACACGTTAAGATTATATGTTATACATATCGTGCTCTTCAACTTATCCAATTCGATGAGGCTACATATCGAATAACACAATTCATCAGAAACAACTATTTTATATAATTCAGAAGCGAATATACAATTACAACGTTATTTCTTTTATGGAGGTAAATATGCTGACTGCATACATTATATAGCTACTAAAAACAATAAAGAAAGAATATACTTTCCACTAATACTCTTCAAAAGCCTCTTGAAAATTTTCCACCAACAAATTTTCCTTTCGCAACACTGAGATTCAGCAATTTTTATAAGACAATTTAGGCTGAAAACAGTAAGATCTTATTCCGCAGAATATTTTAGCCACTTTAACTACGGTTTAACGAGTTTGTTCTCTGTGTTTTCGCAGTTTTTTTTCCAATAGTATGACTAGTGCTCTTTGTATAAATTTAAAGCCCAATTGATGACGAATAATCGTTTACAAGCTTAATGCACAATAATATATAAGTGTCAGATCAACATATAAATTAGGGCCCTATAAATTACATTTACCAAGCACTGTATTCGGTTTATAATGGTATAGGTGAACAGTTGAAATCATCTTTCTAAACCAAATTATTTCTTGTCTTAGAATAAAAACTATTTTTTTTACTACCATCTCAGGTAACTAACATAATATTAATCTAGTAACACAATGGTGTCGATTCTGGCGTGATCCTCTAAACCTAAACTTAATTAAATATGACAACAGTGTATCTTTGTCATTCTCTATACAGAATGAAAAGGAGAGACTGATGTTAAATTTAATATTAAGTTTAGATAATCATGCCAGAATCGACACCAATATGTATCTCGATGATCTGAAATGAATGCTATGAAATTTTATTCTATGATTTTTAAAACTAAAACATGGCAACAATATAAAATAAGATAGTGATGACATTTTTTAAATAATATCAATAAAAAAAAATTCGAGTCAAACTTAAAACCATTTTAGTACTTATAAAAACATTTAATACGAATATAAAGCACACGTTTGCATTAATTCAAAAATATACAACTATCCTACATATAACACAAAACAAAAACCATACAGTACAGTACTGTATAGTGGTATTCCGTTTATTAAGATTCTAATAATTCCTACCTTGGAAAGAGATCCATAGTGTTCAATCTTCTTTGTCTTCGACGGCTGACAAAAATAACTTTTGGCAAGTGTGCGTGAATTGAACTGTAAAGAAAATATATGATGTTATCACCTTAATGTCACACTTTTTGGGGCAAAAGGTGTATTTAGAGCTCCCACACAAAATTGCAACTCGATGCGATGCGACGTTGCAACGCAGAAACTTGCGATGCGAGTTGCTGCGATACGATTTTGTACGGCAAAGCTTTGGTTTAGTTGACCATACCTTCACTGGTAGTCAGCCATATTGGGCGTGTTTTAGTAATAGTGACATGGATCGCAAAAGTTTGTCACACTGCTATTTTTGTTAAATATATAAAGAAGAAAAAGAAGATTTTGGGTTCATTCATATTATATTACGATTATTATCGCTTATGGGAACTATTGTACTCGAAAATACTATAGTTCAAGACCAGAAGAAGATAATTTATTTCATTATTTTAGAATGAGCATATCTTTATTTGAAGAGATTTTGAGTTCATTATCACCATGTCTACCAAAACGATCGTACAAGGGAAGTCTCAGAGCGGACTACAATTGCGCCAACAAGTGTAACATAATATAACAAGAATGCGCGATGCCTATCAGATCGAAAGATCTTGCGGTGCATTCGTGCGAGCTCGCAGATATTTGCGATGCGTTGCGAATTCGCAGTTATGAGTGGGAGCACATAGCGGTTAGGTTAATTGGTGTGAGTGTTAGAAATATTTATTGTAGTAAAATGGATCAGCTTTAATAAAACTAAAACATATTTTTTGTTAAATCGAATTAACAGGCGCAGAATGTGACGGAGTCGGAATTTTGAAATTCACAGAAATAAACAAATTAAAATATCAACACGGCGTGTATGTGGTTTTCACAATAAATCAGCAAGCGCACGTTTTTTTTGAAATATTTTATATAATAATATCTAAAGAAAATTTTACTACAAAAAGTTCCACGCGGACCAGGTAGGTGACTGGATCAATATTTTTCCTATAAAATTATTCTACACATTTAACATATGCTTTATTTACAGAATTACAATATATAGAAATAAAATAACAACATTATAGTAATATAAGTTATTTACGGGATTGTTACCATGTACCTTGTTTTTAGCGAGTTTCCGATATTTCCGATAAAAAAAAAAAAAAAAAAAAAAAAAATAACAACAACTTAAAAACAACCTAATGTATAAAATTTAAATACAAATTACCTTAACCTATGCCCCATCTCGCGTAAGAGCGACCGCTCGCAAAACCGGCGCAGCTGCGGCGACAGCCGAAATCAATAAGGGTGAAGCCAAACGAGCGTAATTTTGTGAGTTGTGAGTCGCTTATTTTCGGTCACTTATTTTACGTTCAACTGAATTTCTGTTGAGCTGCCATACGAACGTAATTTATTCATTTACTATTGAGCGTTAGTATGGGGTGTTCGTGTCGTCGAGTGCAATGGATCCATTAAAAATATTGTGTATTTACGAAGCATATTCAGAAGATGAGGCCAGAAAAAGAAACTGGGTAAACCCACTGAATAGTCAGAGGCTGATATGTGGACAGTTCCATACTTTATATGAACGTTTATGTGCAAATCCAGATATGTTTGAAAAGTAGGTACCATCATATGCCATTACGTGTTTTTCAAGAATTATTACACCACGCAACTTGTAACAAACTGTTGCTTCCCCATTCCCCTTCCTTGCCCTACCCTCACCCCGACCGAAATTCGGACGAACTTATGCGCATTGAGTCGGCAGACAACTCATTTTGCGTTGTCGTGTGGCACCAACTGCCTTTTTGTATGAAACCGAATGCAGCAGAATTTCTGCGACCGAAATTCTGCGACTCACCACTCACAAAATTACGCTCGTTTGGCCTCACCCTAAAAGGCGTAAATATGGTGCCTTGGGAGAGCCGTATATATTTACGCCTTTTGCCGTGGAGACCTTGGGGCCTTGGGCTGCGGAAGCTCGTCAGCTATTTAAGTAGATTTCCACACGCCTCATCGACGCCTCAGGGGATCCAAGGGCTGGCGCGCATTTCGGACAAAGGTTGAGCCTGGCCATTTAACGGGGAAATGCCGCCAGCCTCTTAGGCACCCTACCCTGCGAGCGATTTTGGGGCGCTTTTTTATATAATATAATTTTATTTTTAGTTTGATATAAGTATTTAGTTTATTTAGTAGTTTTAATTCATTTTGTGCTTTTAAATAACACATTATTTTAGGAATTTGTATATAATAAAATGTTAGTAAATTAATATTATTGAAATAAACTTATAAATAATATTTTATTTACAAAATGAGACTTAACAAACATATTTTATCTATCAAAAAATTTATCACCTTCCAATATATGGTACTAGCATTGAGCTGCTAAGCGACTGCATAGCCCTAATTAATATTATTACTCACTCAATAGATTCGTCATGACTTGCGGTCGGGTCTATACGAAGGCGAATTTGACCAGCCCTCCTCGAAGGGTCATCAGATCGCAGGACACTAAATGCCACGGGCTCCCTCATTATCAACACTACTAACGGTACGGCCGATACTAGCCCAGCATCTACCTATACTCTCAACTTATTCTGAACTTTTGCATCGAGAGTACAGATGGCCAGTGTAACCAGACTGATTACAAACAACATTAATGATTCGCTTTATCACGTCTCCTTGATTTAGTAGCATTATAATAAGTTCAAAGTTTTCAAATAGCTATAGTTAGCAGTACGACCGATACTAATACACTATTGTAACAAACGCTCTCGAACCAAAATCGCAAAAATTATGGAGACATATTTCAGATTTTTTGGCAGATTTTTCCTGAACACCGCGGGTCGCGACGTGCATAATCGCGATAAAGGTCGAGTGGTGCGGTTCATTCTAATATGAGCCTTATGCAATGCGGAGTTTGGGTGAAAGTGCAACGACATCTGCACTTGTTTACAACTTATGCGCGTTACCTACGTATAAGTAGGTACTACGCACTCGCGGGTGCTAGTTAACTCTCAATTAAACTGAACTTTTCTAGAATGCGTCGATTGGCGTCCCGCCCCCCACGACAACGGCTAACTAGAGCCGAGGTCCGAGTCTCAGAGACGCCCTTTAGTTGAGCCGACGCCCTCTAGTTGACCCGACCCCCTCAGGTTCGAGTGGTCTAGGGGTTCCAGACAGAGAGGAGGGGAGTCTCCGCGGGGAGATGCCATTCACCAAGAATACCTCTAGAGGCACTTGCCAATTCTCGGCCTGAGGTCACCTTAGGATCGCGCCGAAAGGTCATCTGCGTCCAAAAGCATATACATTCAAAAAAGCGTGGGCTAGTTAACTCTCAATTAAACTGGCCTTTTCTAGAATGCGTCGATTAGCGTATATAAGAGCGTTTGGCGCTGTGCTGTCGACAGTTGAGTTTCAACAGCGATTCCGGAACGAATACAAAGGCGATGAAAGTGCAAGTGTTCAAGTGTGGTTCTTTAGTATTGCGAGTTTAAGATAAAACTGTGTGATCTGGGTGGTGAATAAAGAACTGTCAAGCGTGAACTGGCATATAATAGGGATGATGGCTAATTTTATTTTCTTCGTTTATCAGGTAGAGTATTGGACACGTATTTTTTCTTTTTTCACATAATATAAACATTGCAGACATATATTGATTTGAAAAGTCGCATGACGTCACGTTTGAGTACACTTTTAAGTGAAAATTCACTCGAAAGTGACTCCACGAGCCCCTACTCCCAAACTTTGACGCGTTACAATTTTGTCATTTTTTGGATTATTGCCCAAAGAAAAAATACGTGTCCATTATTTTCTGATCGTCTAACTGACGGACTAAATAGAATTTCGTTTACTGTACCCCGTCACCACCCCTATTTCGAACCCTATTCCGACACCCAAACAATATTCTAACTTATTTGTTTCTTAGGTTTTCACGCACATCACTCCATCAATCGTCAAAATTAAATAAAATCAGTGCATTTAACCCGTTAAAACTTGTTTTATTTAATACTAGTGGCCCGCCCTCGCTTCGCTTCGGTGTAGAGCTGTAGTGTAAACTATAGTTTTTGTTCTCAGGCTTGTGCTATAAAGAATGACTTTATTTATATAATTACACGTGTTATTGTGAGTCAACCATAAAAGATAGACATATGCTGTTGCGGAATATTTTTTAGACAATTTTATGTAGAATATTTCCGTCATACATGATTTCTATGTAACTTTAACCATTAAGGCTGCACCCGCGACGGAAGCTTAAAAAATGGAGTAACTTCTCCCGTTTTCCCAACATTTCCCTTTACTACTCTGCTGCTATTGATTGTAGCGTGATGAAAAGTATACTATAACCTGCCCAGGAGTATGAAGAATAATTGTACCAAGTTTCGTTAAAATCCGTTGAGTAGTTTTTGTTTCTATAAGGAACATACACACAGACAGACAGACAGACAAAAATTTTACTGATTGCATTTTTGGCATCAGTATCGATCACTAATGACCCCATGATAGTTATTTTAAAAATATATTTCATGTACAGAATTGACATCTCTACAGATTTATTATAAGTATAGATTATAACTTACTGGACAGATCCTTGATGACTTGCGGTCGGGTCCATATAAAGGCGAAGTAGACCGGCACCCCCAGTAGGGTCATCAATGCTCCAGCCACTACGGCTACGGGCTCACTCATTATGGGCACTACTAGCAGTACGGCTGATACTAGCACGAACAGCGAGGGAATCCATAATTGTACCTTGGGAAGAAGACATTTATTTATTTACTTTTTTGAAGTTATACTTCTTTAGGCGCGTTATGAAAAAATGATGAGAGTGAAATTTTAAGATGCGCGCGCATCACTGTAACACAAAAATTTAACAGCATGAAGTTGGTCGCTTTTGCGTTTACCGCACATTAGGGAAATCTACCAACAAAATAGAAATACAATCTCTATTTAGTGGGTGCTGACGACTGCATTGTGAAGGCCTATCAAAAGTATTTATTAATCTGAAACAACGGAACCAAAGCGCGATTCAGGAGACTACAGCGCCATCTCTTGACCATTGGTGTAGTAGAACCAAAAACCACATCTTTATTTTTTGTAATAAAGTAACAGTTATAGGTATTCATATTTATAATATCAAAAGTATTTATTAATCTGGAACAACGAAACCAAAGCGCGATTCAGGAGACTACAGCGCCATCTCTTGACCATTGGTGTAGTAGAACCAAAAACCACATCTTTATTTTTTGTAATAAAGTAACAGTTATAGGTATTCATATTTATAATATTTATCCACATGTTTCTAGTTTGTATATTCGGAATACGTGTTTGAGTTTCATACAAGTGCAAAGCACATATGTTGTAATAAATTATATTCAGTAGCGATTTTAATTGAATATTTTGATTATTTATTAATTTTTTCAAATTAAAACTGAACTTTATTGACTGTGTCCTTTTCCAGACTTTTTATTAATTTATTGTAATTAATTATTTGCATGCAATTAAAAACTAATTTTAAACGATACCAAAGAAGGATAACTTCTCACGCGCCTACATAAGTACACGCACCCATTTTTTTTTTTTATGTTATAGGTGGCATACGAGCAGACGGCTCACCTGATGGTAAGTGATCACCGTCGCTAATGGACACTTGCAACACCAGGAGTATCACAAATGCGATGCCGGCCTTTAAGGAAGGAGTACGCTCTTTTTTTGAAGATTTTTGGGTCGTATCGGTCCGGAAACACTGATGGCGACAACATATTCCACAGTTTTGTCGTACGTGGTAAAAAATTTCGACAAAGACGCATGGTTGTGGATAGCCACGCATCAAGATACTCTTTCATCATCATCATCATCAGCCTATTAATGTCCCCACTGCTGGGGCACAGGCCTTCCCTATGGATGGAATAGGGAGATTGGAGCTAGACCCACCACGCGGGCCTAGTGCGGATTGGTGGGGGCTAACGACTGCAGATGCAGCCGGGACCAACGGCTTAGCGTGCCTTCCGAAGCACGGAGGAGCTCGAGATAGTAATTTTTGGTCACCCATCCAATGACCAACCACTGCGAAAGTTGCTTAATTTCAACGATCGCAACCGAACGCGCTAAACCACTTGCGCCATCGAGCTCCTCATTTACTCTTTATTGTTGTTTTATTACAACAAATGGCGGTCTTAATGCCACATGACATTCTCTACCAGTCAACCATCGGGCTAAGCAGAGACAGTAAACAATATTAAACTCGAATTCAATCCATGCACGATGATGATGATGCTGATGGGCATAGCACTTTGATTCCAGCTTTAAATCTGGGTAGGATTGAATTTTTTGACGACCTCCGTGGCCAAGTGGTTTGTACGCCGGGTTTCATGGTGTCGCCGATTCGAGAAGTCTCGGGTTCGAATCCCGGTGGGGGGCAGATGTTTGTGTGATGAATACGAGCATTTGTACTCCAGTCATGGATGTATAATATGTATTTCTATATGAATATACTTATGTATGTACAATATATGTATTCTATCCGTTACCCTAGTATCGTATAACACAAGCCTTACAGTGATTACTTTGGGGCTAGGCTATAAATTGGTGTGTTGAATTTTTTAATTATTTGCCTAGTAACTTTTTAAAAGATTAAATTGTCCATGCATAAATAAAAATCGAATGGGACTACATTCATCCTCAGCCCATCAATGTTCCCAACGCCATCCAGCGTTCACATGGCTTCCCTATGGATGGCTAAGGGAGATAGACAATAACCCACCATGCGGGCCCGAACCGGATCAACGGCTTAACGTGCCTTCCGAAACACTGAGGAGCTCGAGATAATAAAGTTTTGGTCACCCATCCTATAACCGGCCATTGCATAAGTTGCTTAACTTTCACGATCGCAAACTGACCGCAGCGATCATTTGCGCCTTTGAGCTCCCCAATGTACTACAATGCTATTTCTTTAATCGAATGTTTGGTACTTGTAGAGGTAACTCGCTTAGCATTTTACCTACAATGGTGTCAATTCTGGCATGATTATCTGAACTTAACCCGGCGTTCGCACAGTTGGGTCTATTTGACCCGAGCAGTTTTCAAATCAGCTTGTTTCTTAAAATGTTTGTGGGACGTTGCCAAACTCCTCAGTAGCTGGAGCTAATGGTACCCCCTTCGCGCGGGATATCGCCATTCAGTTGTGTTGCGGCCTCAGCGCGTGATAGACACGGCCAAACGCGAAAAAGGTAAATATGACCCAACCATACTATTAGTGTCGTAATTTTGCGCCGTTAAAAAAATATTTTTTGTTGTTTTATATTGTTTATTTTGTTATTTTTGGCATGCTAAATATGTTTGGAATAAATGCGTACATATTACATAACAACAATAACAACACTACGTCAAAGCGACACCAATTTCTAAAGAAACTTAAGCCCTCCACTGGTTATTGAGTATTTGCGCAATCGTAAAGATGTCATTCAGTTGCAAAGACTAATGCGCAAAAGAATCAGAGAGTTTTTAGTAGAACCTGATGAGGAGCCACCTGCAAGACTGTTCTGCTAAAAAACATAGAAAAACTAATAATACTTTTCGGAGCTGTAGCAAATACATCTGCAGTGAGCATGCAATGTTGTACTGCCGAGATTGCGCAGATGATAAGGATACTATGACTGATGTATGAGACTGATACATATAGTATAATATTATTAGTCTACTAAAGATTTGATTAACATGTAACAAATTAGTTTATGTTATAGAAAAACCTTTGTTTTGTTAAAATTTTATTACTTTAAGACAGAGGTTGTCCATTTTGTTAATATTTTGTGACACTTTTATGAAAATGACATTAAAAAGATAGTTTCGTATCATGTTGTGTTTTTTTCTACTCAAAACCTATAACGATAATCTTATTATACAGATAGTACAACCACAAACCAAATTTATTTTAACTTTTGTAATTATGGCGTTTTCTTATACGGGTCCTCTCGACCCAACCCTACTGTCGTTGTTGCATATTTTGACTGTGCTGACGCCGGGTTAAAACTATAATAGGCTAGTTGACACTTTTTGGAAATATGTTTTAAATGGTTAATAATTGTTCAATTAGATCGAAAAAAATGTATTGTAATTTTTTTTTACCTAGAAAGCTACAAAACTTTAATTTTAAAATAGATTTTTCATGGACATACAAAAACGCTGTCGGCCATTTTAGTCTATAGATTATCTATGGTATGACGGGAACAATAGTAAACAAACACTCGCAAGCACGTAGGATATAATCTATCTGAATTTACATTACAAAACCATGATTTCTAATAGATTTCATGATAAATATAGTAATTATCATGATTGTATTATACGAGAATAAAGAAACACATCGTTAAAAACTCCAGAAATGTTGTGGTTTCAATTTTTAAGGTTATGAATGTACCTGCTAAATCAAAGAGTTTTGTCGTTTCTGCTTTCATAAATCCGGCGTCCAGCATTAATTTAGTCAAGAAAACCAATAAACGGAAACTTTTCTTCAAGATATAAGAGTTTTTAGATATATTTTAGTGGGACGAAAGAAACCACAGTAACACGACAATGACGTTTAGTTGTTTTGCTATTATGTTGACGTCACAATCATGGTTGACAGCGTTTTTAGTGTTTAAAAAGCATAGACTAAAAAACTATATTTCAAATTAAATTATTGCAGCCATCTTCTAATTTTATGAAGTGAAATCGATGTATTTAGGGTCCTCATACCAAAAATTATAAGAAATAAACATTTGTATAGTGCAATTTGACATGAGTCAACAATTGCAGCACGCTATGATAACCGTTTTGTGCGTCCATGAAATTTCATATTTAAAATAGGAAATTAGTTTTAAACTTTACTAAAGATAATTCTTTTTCGTTATTGTCATTAGACACGCGCTTTTAGTCATAAGATGTATCGAATCGGCAATTTAAGGTTGTAGAATTAAAATGTTATAAAACTATCTTATATAAGGTCTAACTTTAGATTATAATTTCGAAAAACTTTTTCAAGTTTAAAACAATTAAATATAATATCATTTTTAACACACAACACAAAAACACCCGACATTTGACAAAATCATTAATAGATCAAGGAAAAAGAATTAATAAATTAAGTTTAATTAATATAATTATAGTGTACTTATTCACCATCTAACTCATATGTATTTGCATTCTCCGAAGAGGAAGATGTAAAAAAAAAAATTAATAAGATTGCTACGTATAGGATCGGCGAGCGTGAGTAACCATTTAGTTTTCGTTTTATCCAATCTTTATTAGCAGCAACTTTTTGAATATTAACCAATATTGCACAGCGCCAAACGCGCTTATATGGGGGCGTCCATAAATTACGTGAGATGTTTAAGGGGGGGAGGGGGGTCGAGTCAAATCTCATCTAATCTTACATTGGAGAGAGGGGGGGTCGAGTCAAATATCACGCAATTTTTTTTCTGATTGAAACAAAAAGAAATATACTATTTTGGTCCATTTAATCCAGATTGTACATGCTTCAAATTTAATCTTAAGCGTAATCGTACGATTAAGATCATTCACTATTTCGTTCGAAAGAAATAACTCTCAGCAATATTGATTACTAGTCTTAACTAGTCGTAATAAAAGCACGAAGCATTTTTTTTCTTTTAACAATAACAATCCAACGCATTTAAGTAAGAAACCCACATTTTGGAAAATCTCACGTGAGATTGGGAGATGGGGGAGGGGGTTGAAAAAAATCTCACGACATCTCAGCAGGGGGGGAGGGAGGGACAGAAAATTCAAAAAAACACCTCACGTAATTTATGGACGCCCCCTATACGCTAATCGACGCATTCTAAAAAAGGCCAGTTTAATTGAGAGTTAACTAGCATACGCTTTTTTGAGTGTATATGCTGCTGGACGCAGATGACCTTTACGGCGCGATCCTAAGGTGACCTCAGGCCGAGAATTGGCCTGAGGTCACCTTAGGATCTAGGAGGTGCCTAGAGGTACTCGCCAATAGAGAAGGAGGCAGTATTCTAGGTGAATGGCATCTCCCCGCGGGGGGAGTCTCTTCTCCGTCTGGAGCCCCTAGACTACTCGGACCTGAGGGGGTTGGGTCAACCAGAGGGCGACTCTAAGACTCGGACCTCGGCTCTAAATCAATAAGATTGCTACGTATAGGATCGGCGAGCGTGAGTTACCATTTAGTTTTCGTTTTATCCAATCTTTATAAGCAGCAACTTCTTGCAATATTGGTTAATATTCAGAAAGTTTTGATACATAGATGTGACTCGTATATGTGATTATTTATCTTTTTTTCGATAACAAATTGTCTTTTCTCTTCACAATAGGGTATTTGACAAGTTTTAGAAAACGATCTCACGTTATTTACTAATGTTTATGGAGTTTATGGATATTCATCATTCTGTTGTGTATTTCAGTTAAAATAACCAAATCAAAAACTCCATTTTCAAGCTGCCTCGAAAACGTTTCTCTGGACATTATATCGCGTCTCACTGTGACGTCACACGACTGTTATTAAAACGTCAAACGATACAATGTAATGTCACTTTAACCGGAAGTTTACTTGCGTGTGACGTCATTTTAGGCGTTTTGGGTCACGTGACAATAGATAAGAAAACTATATCTTTTTTGTGGGTTTTTAGTAAAATTATGAATATTTTTCTGTAAAAATAGTGAAAATCCCTGCCAATATTCATTCTAAACACAGATGCTAATAATTGGCACTTTATTTTTAATACTGTCAAATACCCTATTGGAATGTATCAAAACGGCCACCATAGCGTGCCGCGACTACCAATTTAACATCAGTCTCTCCTTTTCCTCACGTCCCATCCCCCCACCGACAACGACTAACTAGAGCCGAGGTCCGAGTCTCAGAGACGCCCTTTAGTTGAGCCGACGCCCTCAGGTTCGAGTGGTCTAGAGGCTCCAGACGGAGAGGAGACTCCCCCCGTGGGGAGATGCCATCCGCCTGGAATACCTCTAGAGGCACTCGCCAATTCTCGGCTTGAGATCCCCTTAGGATCTCGCCGTCCCTAAAACCTGGTGCCGCTATAAAGGTCATCTGCGACCAACAGCATACACAGTAAAAAAGACTCCTTTTCATTACGTATAAAGAATGACAAGGATACACTGCTGTCAAATTTAAGTTTACCTTTATAGAATCGTGCCAGAATCGCTACCATTATAAAGTAGTGGGAGGAGCTAGATAACGCGGGTGGATAGCGCGCTCGGCTGCGATCGTTGAAATTTCGCGGTGGTGGGCCATAGGATGGGTGTCCAAAAATCTTCTATCTGGAGTTCCTCCGTGCTTCGGAAGGCACGTTAAGCCGTTGGTCCCGGCTGCATCTGCAGTCGTTAGCACCCGCCAATCCGCACTGGGCCCGCGTGGTGGGTCATAGCCCAATCTCCCTATTCCAACCATAGGGAAGGCCTGTGCCCCAGCATTGGGGACATTAATATATGATGATGATAAAATAGTGACGCGATTTAATATTCATTACCTTAATGGGTCTGGCCAAGTGAGGTTTCTTGTACCTCAACCACAGTACTGCGCTACAACTGAGCGTGGTGAAGAACGACTCCACGACAGTGCAGTACGTTATCAGGGTGGTCAAGTTGTCCGGTATAAGCATTATCAGGGAGATCAGCATCTGTATGGGACAGAAGAGAAAGAGATTTTTCGTGTTTAACCGTAAATACAAAGCAATAGGGGTCACGACTGGGTAAATTTAAACGAAATTATATTTATATTTGTTTCTTAGGTAAATTGATAAAACTGTACTTCCAGTGCCCAAGAGGTGATACTTGATTTTTTTTTTTGTAGAAAAGGTCGTTAAGGTGTTAAGAGAATTTTGCATTTCGTATGTATCACTACTATTATATTCCAAAGTAAGATTTAATTTAACTTTCTCTGATTGTCCAAATAAAGAAATAAATAAAATTTACATACATATATATATACTAGCTGACCCAGCGAACTTCGTACCGCCATAAAAAAATTTAATTAAAAAAACATTGTCCGCGGACAAAATTGTGAATCTAAACCATTCTCAGATCCCCTTGAACACACACAAAAAATTTCATCAGAATCAGTCCAGTCGTTTAAGAGAAGTTCAGTGACATACACACTCACAGAAGAATTATATATATAAAGATACTAGCTGACCCAGCGAACTTCGTACAGCCTTAAAAATAGGAGCAGGTGGTAGAAGAGAAAATTTAGGGTTGTATGTATTTTTTAATACCACATTATAAAAAAAAAATATTGTCCAAAATAACATTCCTCCTAACCCATATGAGAACACTACGTTACAATACCCAATAGTTTGATATTTGGCGCGAAGGCGCAAAAGCAGGTTTCAGAACACTACGTTACAGGTGGACAACCATTATCCCTTACGGATATGAAAAATAGATAGTAGCCGATTCTCAGACCCACGGAATATGCATATAAAATTTCATAAAAATCGGTCAGGCCGTTTCGGAGGAGTATGGTAACTAACATTGTGACCTTTATCAGTTATTAATAAAATGTGAAAAAATAATTATTGCACTGGAAATTAATAATAAATTCACGATGAGAGTAAAATTAACGTAATAGATGCACAGAAAAATGAAAATAATACGTATAAGTCACTGCTACGATCGATACACAAATGAAATCAAAAAAAAATGCCCGAAAACTGTATATTGAGGAAGACAGGAGACCGGCTTCCTTCTCATCCCTACTCCGTGATGTTTGCTGGATGAGAGGTGACCCAGGTAGACATCTAGCGGGTATAACTGATCGATTGATCGTTGATCGGTTATCGACCGGTGAAGGCCGAAGATCAAATTGAATTGAGAAAAAAAAAATATTAAAAATAAAAATCGCGATAGTAAAATAGGGTTGATTTTAAAGGGTTGAAAATTCAGGGTTATATGTATTTACTAATGCTGTATCATAAAAAAATAAAAAAAAATAGACCTAAAATTAAAAAAAAAAACGGGGTGGATTACCCTTAACATTTAGGGGGATGAAAAATAGATTACATCCGGTTCTCAGACCTACTGAATATGCATATAAAATTTCACGAAAATCTGTCGAGCCGTTTCGGAGGAGTTTAACCACAAACACCGCGACACGAGAATTTTATATATTAGATATATATATATAAAAATAAACTCACCAAGAATATAAGAGAAGGCATTGGAGTCATACGCTTGAAATTTATGTGGGCTAGCAGTTCAGGCATATGTCCATTCCTAGCACCAGCGAAGCACATCCTCGAGGAAGTCATTATGTGCACTGAGAGACCTCCAACGGTCGCTATGGCAACCAGGGTGGGCATGAGCCAACGCATAAAGCCCAATGCCACTGCCGCGAAATCCTGCGTGTGAGAAATATTTTTTTATTTATATACGCTAACTATTGGGTGTGCCGCATCGTCATCAGTTTTAAATTTGTCGGCTATTAGGCGAGGAGGATTTTGGTGAGGAACTCGATGGTGCAGGTGGTTAGCGCGTTCGACTGCAATTTAGCAACTTTCGCAGTGGTCGGTCATTGGATGGGTGACCAAAAATCTTCTATCTCGAGTTCCTCCGTGCTTCGGAAGGCACGTTACGCCGTTTGTCCCGGCTGCATTAGCACCCGCCAATCCGCATTGGGCCCGGGTGGTGGGTCATGGCCCAATCTCCTTATTCCATCAATAGGGAAGGCCTGTGCCCCAGCAAAGGGGACATTAATAGGCTGATGATGAATTAAGAAATTATAAACTAGCAGGTCTTTTACCCTTATTAATCAATCAGCTAAAACCTTGAATAAACAATGAGCTAGCTGCTAGATGTAAACGTATAATGCAATTGTTGTGCAATTTTATTTTTATTAATCATATATTTTTTTGGATTGTATATGCAATATTTATATATAAATATATATTAAACATCCACTAGACTAGACTAGACTAGAGTACAAATGCTCGTATTCATCACACAAACATCTGCCTCCACCGGGATTCGAATCCGAGACCTCTCGAGCCTTGAAACCCGCCGTTCAAACTATTTGGCCACGGAGGTAATCGAACAATAACAATAGTTATTTATTATACAAGAGTGGAAAGTTCCTTTTTAACCGCGTGCTCGATTTGGATGACCGAGCAAGCGAAGGATTCTAAAGTTGAATCACGAGCGCAGCGAGTGATTCTAAATTAGAATCCTGAGCGTCAGCGAGGGAAACAAACGAGCACAAGGTGAAAAATCTTTCCACTCGAGTGCAATACGTAACTTTTCATCCCACCTCAGCGAGGAAATGACAAAATGAAAAAGAAAACAATTTATAATGACAAAATATTTAAGCAATAAAACGTGAAAAACTAGAATGGCGCGTAGCACGCAAATAAAACAAAGAAACCAAGAAGGTTCCAAATTTAAATTTTTTCACAATTTAAAAAGTTCTAATCATAAATTTGGCACCATAGAGGTTACATTAAATAGGTTTAATGACGTTTTGAATTTACAATTATATTGAGTACTCATTATATGTGATGTTCTAAATTCAAATCTACTTTGCCGCTCAAGCGAATAAAATAGAATTTTCCAGCCAGATTTCGAAGCGCAAAATTACACTTTCCGAGGTGGTGGGATGAAAAAAAGTTTTAAATACTCACAACAGCGATAGCCTGTGTCGCCTTAACTCCCATTGGGCCAAGCACCGCCATATATGCTACATTGGCCAGCAAGTAGATGCCAGTGACCAGCGGCAGAGAAATGTATATGGCACGGGGCAGGTTCTTGAAGGGGTCTCTCAGCTCTTCCGTCATGAAGTTGAGGTAACTCCTGCATCAAATAAAATAAGTTAATAGGGCAGTGTTTCCTAACCTTTCCAATTCTGCTACCCCTGTAACCTATTAGGAAAACAGATTTTACCCCGAATTTAAAATGTTATCATCAGTCCAAGAAATTCCAATTTGGCCGCTACATCTTCGTCTCTACATTAGTAGATCCTCCTGATGATGATATAGACATTAGTCTATGTCATCATCAGGAGAGAATCTCGCCCCGCTTCCCACACTCAGCAGCCCGCGGGCTCACTAGCAAGAAGGACCGCATGCTCTATTAAGTACTATTATTTAGATTTGACCAAATAATTTGGTTCTTTGTTACCCCCAAAGTATGGCTGATTTACCCCCGGAGGGGTAATTAACCCCAGGTTCGGAACCCAGGTAATAGGGCAATTCAATTCTTTATTGCATATCCACAATGTACAAAAAGATGTTAAATATGACAAAATACGATCATTATGGACCCTGTCGGGCACGCAACTAAATGAGAGATAGATAGAAGAGAGGAGTTACATTCAAATTTCTACGTTAGTTTATAGATTGAAAGAGCGAGGTACTGAATGTCACTATCGTTAATTCATATATTATTTAAGTGAAGAAAATTCATTTCATCTATATAAACAAACAATCAATTAATAGGCGGGCCACTAGCAAAAAATAAAATAAAAATAATATTTGTTAAATTTCAATGTCAAGTTCAATAATATTTATGAATGTTTGTTAAATTTCAATGTCAAGTTCAATAATATTTATGTATGTATGTTTGTGTGTATAATTGTATATGTCATTTATGTGTATCATTTTATTGTCATTTTGTACATGATAGATATTTGACAAGTTTTAGAAAACGATCACACATTATTTACTAATTTTTATGAAGTCCATAAAAAGTGAATATTCATCATTTTGTTGTGTATTTAAGTATAAAAAAACTAAATTAAAATCTTCACTTTCAAGTTGCCGTGAAAATGTTTCTCTGGACAATATGGCGTCTCACTAGTATGTGACGTCACATGACAGTCATTAAAAAGTCAGACGATACAATGTAATGACACTTTAACCAGCAGTTTGCTAGCGTGAGACGTCATCAGGCTCCGCCAATCCCTTGCGTTTTCGGTCACGTGACAATAGTTAAGAAAACTATTATATTTTCGTGGGATTTTAGTACAATGATGAATATTATTTCTGTATAAATAGCAAAAACCCCTGCCAATGTTCATTCTAACTACAGATGCTAACAATTGGCAATTTTCTATTAAATACTGTCAAATATATACCCTATTTGGAATGATTGCTGTGGTCCACAGGATTTTGAATTAGCTGCATTTAATTTGGCAACAGTCCCCATAGCCTGAGCACCACAATTGTCTGTCAAAGTCCCTAGTAATTTGACAATTGAACGGGATAAAAACGTGCTATATATTATATTGCGATGCGCATGGTAGGGCCAAGACTTTATTTTTAGCGATGGGAACGTGCTGTGGTTGCCGACGCGCCAGAACAAGTTTTATTAAAATATCTGTTCCGCATATTAGCATTATTTAATTATACATAGTATTTAGTTATTTTTGCTTATGCTATGCTCTGGCATCTTTAAGACTGCAACATTGCAAAAGATATGAAAAACATTTTGTCAAAAAAGGCTTGTTAATTACTTACCATCCTGAGTAAGAAAATATTCCAGAGTAGAAAGCAACCGACCAGTCGCCTACAGAAGTCGATGTTCCAGCCCAGCCGTCTTCAAAATGCTCAACTCCTCCTGTAAGAAAGTACAGAAATAAGTCATGCAAGCAAAATATTGCACTGAAAAATAAGTAGGTGACAACTCGGATACAAAATATTTGGACATCAGAATCGACATATTTAAATTCTAATATATTTTTGACTTATGATTCAAACACATATAGAAAATCTCTTTTGTACAGTCAGATAAAAACCTTTCAATAAAATCTTAAAAAATAAAATGTATATTAATGTACATACAAATCAATATATTTTGTAAGAAAAACACAAAACAGAGCACAATTATTTTCAAAAGAGGTAGGTTTTAGGATTTACTCAAGTGCAGCCAAATAACATAAGGGGGACAACCTTGCCCCTTATGATGTACTTCCACCATACCCAAGCCATTATATTTGGTCAAACGTATAGGGCAGCCAATCAAATTAGTAAAAAAATCGAGTGTTATAAAAACTCCAGCGCATTAGATTAAGGGAAGTTAATTACATGCAGAAAAGTTTGCATTTTAATAATCTGATAATTTGAGTGTGTCCTAAAGTTGCAAGAAAAAAAAACCTGGGTTTTAAAAAAAAATCCACATACACAGATGAAGTAGATGTTACTTTGTTTTAGTTTACCTCTCGCCATCCACACAATTCCTCCAATTATAATCACAGCCAGGGCAGCAATTTTGGTGAACATAAAGACATTTTGGACTCGAGTTGTGATTTTCACATCATATGCATTGATGAAAGTCAACAAACCTGAAAGAAAAACTATGATTAATATCCAGGAGTGTTATTTCTTCTGTACTTTAATATTGAGAAATCAATTACATATTAGCTTTAATTTAGGATATAATTTTGGTAAGGATGCATTTACAGGATAATGTGTGTCATATATTATTCCTAATACATAGTAATATTCAGCAAGAGCCAAGGAGTTAAGCCTAACATATTCCATAATAAAACTGCATACTTGTAGTGTTTTATACTCACATATTGTAGCAGCGGCAAATAATTTCGTAGCTAACAGGTCAACTGGACAAGATAAGATTGGACCCAAAACATTATTTGCAAATGTTATTGCCATTATTGCATTTGTACTTGGCCTGAAAGGTAAAGTTCTAATGTATATTTAAAATACGAATAACATAATGTTTTACAACACATTTGCTCAAAAAATGCATTAACGAAGGTTGTATACATTGTTCGAAAGTTTAAAATTATGGGCAACACAATGGAGCGTGCGGTAAAATATACTTTAGGCCATTTCACTGTAGTGAAGTGTAGAGATGCACTCAGAGAATTAAAATTTTAATACTTTTCAAAGTGTTGTATTGTCTAATACAATGTTAATCAAAATTAATAATAACTTTACATCTCTGGGAACTGATATTCAGGTACGTATTTACAAATCTGGCTCCCCAGGGCACTGACGATTTGCATCCACCCTCCCCCTAGGATTAGTAAATTAAATAAAATATAGGTCAGTAATGAAAGCCTTTTTTAAGTTTCTGCTGTCCCTCACAGCTTCTGCAGCCGCCCCTCGCAGCTTGCTGCCCCAGGCCATTGGCACTTTTGGGCCTAGGGTAAAAAAGCCCCAGCAGATATTGTTTAATCTATAAACTTACACAAATACAAGAATGGCATCCCACAGGTAGAGGAAAGCAGGAAGAGCACCATAGGCTTCATTGATGTAGTGGTAATCTCCTCCACTCTGTGCTAAAGTTGTTCCTAGTGGACAAAATAATGAAATTGATGCTTATAAATACAGTATACCTGTGGTAATCCGACAAATGAATTGCAGGGTGATGTCGGATTATCAAATTTGTCGGATTAGAGAGTACTGTCTAAGATCAACCTCTATAATCCAGAATTTATGGAATAAGAGTACCTTGTAATCCAACAAATTACAAATCTATTCAATTGATTTTACACGCAATACAACAGTGATAAGCATGTCGGATTACAGGGGGCGCAGGATTAGACAGGGTTCAGTTTACCACTGGTCTACTGTACATAATATGTATTATGTATGTATAATATTATTTTATATATGAATGAACATGAATCAATAAATAACAAACATTCAGGCCAAAGACCATATTGTAGCCTTTTTTTACCTCAGCTAAAATAATCTAGGTTTGGACAAGGACATACAAACACAAGGAAACAAGAAAATATATAAACAAGAAGCCATGAAGCAAAGCGTCCCAGCAAGTAGTGAATTTAAGAATTATTTTAGATATACAGGAATATCTTAAGAAAATGTTGGGTATGTATTTGCCTATAGGAAAAAACATTATACAATGTTTGAGGATGTTTAATCACTGTTCCCCACTAGCGGAATAATAATACCGCAATACTTGGTCAACTTATGAGCACTTTATTTAGAAATGTTCACAATTTTACAAAAATAATTATTTTTTTGTAAAACTGTGTAAATTTCTGAATATGTATGAACGAAATTTCCTCCTGAAGACTATTCTTATTCAGCTAGTGAGGAACACGGGTTAAACATCCCCAAATTGGTGACCCTGATGTGATATGAACACGCAACCTTTTATTCATGTAAAAATAAGACATTTTGAATGTGAAATTCTATAGTTGTTGTTTTATTCAGTTTTCAATGATTTCTTAAAGCTAGCAAAAACAAGGTAAATGTCTTGGAGGATTTATTGTTAACTCTTTTTTTTTCCTTGGTTGTGCGAGTGTTCTCTCAAACATAAAAGTCATGGAAAGAATGTTTAGCTTCAGTTGAAACCTGTTACTTAGCATACAAGAACATAAAAGCGGAACAGAAAGTAAATAATATGCAAATTAAGATTTGCAAAACCTAGTTTCTAAAAGTGAGCACACCTGTATAAACAAAATATGTCATTTTCTGTCGTCTTATAAGAAAGAAGTTATTTTTTCCTTACCTAATTCTGCGTAAGATAGAGCGCCGAGAGTCGCCAATCCTCCGCAAGCAGCCCACACTGAAAGGGCGGCCCATACTGATCCAGTTTTCTCAATAACTTCTCTAGGACTAATGAAAATACCACTACCGAATATTATCCCCAATATGATAGCAACACCCTCCAACAGGCCCAACTGCTTACGCATTTTTACTTTCTCTTCAGCCATCGCGTTGAACAAATACACTTCCTTGGCAAGTAAATAATAGGATCTGGCTATCCCCCTAACCTCAACCACTGAGATGTTAAATTGACCTTTCACATTTCTAGTTAACCGTTAATTAAGCGGCCTTGTAGGATTATCTGCCTTAATAGGCAACGAGCTGTTTAATGCTCGGGATCCATTACACATATTATTTTAAAAAAAAGATTGTATTTACCACAAAAAATAAGACTATCTTAAAACATAATACAACGAGACATGTGTGTGCACAGACTACAGACACTACAGTACCTATAAATATAGTGATCTGTGTACAGTACAGACAGATTTACTGCAGCAGATTCAACGATATTAAATACCCTAGATACACCACGGCGCTCAAAATGTGTCCCAATCAAGAAGTGCTTGAGTGGAGTTCAAGCACTTCTTGATTGGGACACATTTTGGTTCACAGTCACGCGCGGACCGTTACAAAGTTAAGATGCCACAGAGCTCCGCGAAAAAATACGAAAATAATACTTAGAGTACGAAAAGTATCGTTTTTTGGACAGGTATCTAGTCAATTGTTTGTTAATTTAACGCATTTGAAGTAACTTATGATGTAATCTACTATATAAAAATAAGTCGGGTTTTCCTTCCTGACGCTATAACTCCAGAACGCACGAACCGATTTCCACGGTTTTGCATTCGTTGGAAAGGTCTCGGGCTCCGTGAGGTTTATAGCAAAGAAAATTCAGGAAAAATTAAAAAAAAAACTTCTTTTAATCACCAAACGAAATGTTACATAAAACGAAGCCATCTGGTGGCGAAACGGAGTTCGCGGGGTTTGCTAGTACTTACTATAAACTGATATTTGTGATATTCAAATGCATGGTCGGTTATACGTCGCCATATAGCCGTCTCTTTTCCTCGCGGTCAGTGCCTGCTATATTGCTAACAGCGCGTTCAGAATAACGCGTAGAGTGAAAGTACTAAGGTCTAAATTCTTCCGCATATAGCAATAAGTCGTACGAGCTTGCATTTCGAACTGTCCTTGACGCATGCATTTTATTTAAGACCTTATGCAGTATGTTTTAAAGGTTACTTTCAATATTTAAATAATGCTTTATGTTGATTTTGACTACGCGATCATCTTACAGAGCTCCGTAGATCGTTCAATGTACCTTTTGGACAGGTTTCAGGCACGATTTTGTTCGTGTTGGTGTATCTAGGGTATTTAATATCGTCGCAGCAGATTACTCCAATTATTTATATAGCAGAGCTGCCATTTTTGCGCTTTGGGCGCTAGATCTAGCTCTTTTATGGTGTGGTTGGCGCCTATTTCAAAATTTTAGCGCCAATCGGATAATTGTTTTTTCATTTATGTCATGGTAACACTTAGACCATTAAACCACAATGGTCTAAGTGGTAAGGGTGCGGCCAGAGTGCACTCAGATTCAGATTCAGATTCTGAAAACAAGCGCGAGAAATAAACAGTGTAGTCTAAGCAGGTTGCCTGCTTTTTCTCGCGCTTTGTTTTCTGAGTCTGAATCTGAATCTGAATCAGGAGTGCAATCTGGCCGTACCCTTCGACTACACTGTTTATTTCTCGCGCTTGTTTTCGAAATCTGAATCTGATTCTGAATCTGAGTGCACTCTGGCCGCACCCTTTCACTATATTACCGATAATTTATGGCAATGCGAATCCCCTCTATTATTTATTTTGTCAGAACTACACTTATTGTATCTGTCGTATTGTGTTGTGACGCGTCAGAGAGGTATCGGTTTCATACATGGATTCATATTAAATAAATAGAACCGATACCTCCCTACAGTTAGAACTATATTTGTGTGTCGCGCGATGTGTCATCACCGTTCTCACTCTAACGGTACTAAATGTATGAAATCAAAATTTCTGATGCGTCACAACAAAAAACGTTATATTCTTGCTATAAGTTAATGGTTTTGTGTACATTCATTAATATTTCAGTTTTCTAGAGCACAGCTAAGTTACTTGGTGGAAGTTAAAAAGAAATTGGCGTCGATTCTGGAATGATCTGTAAACCTAAACCTAAGACCTAAACTTAAATTTGGCAACAGTGGATACACTGTGGCCATTGTCATTCTATATACAGAATGAAAGGGAGAGACTGATGTTATAGTTTTAAGAACATGAAAAATATTGTAAAATACATGAATGGCCAGAGAGTTGATCCTATTTCAGCTATGGAAGTTTATTTTTTTTAATTTGGATAAAATTTATTTACGACAGAAATATATTTCCGGCTTGATATACATTTTTGTACTAATAAATTAGGTAAGTGGTAAATAGTTACATCGATCTATGGTAGATCCTCTCGTGCCGCAAACTTTAATTACCAACTATAAATAACTTCATCATTTCCTATCAGATCTAAATTTGCTATACTTTGTTATAATTGCATCATAAAAATAAAACAAAAAAATATTTTGAGCAACAAAACTGATTTAATTTGCATGTAATATAATTTAAGCTTGATAAATCAATATGATCAAAAAATATCAATCAATATATTATAAATCTGGGGAAATAATATTTTTGTAAAAATTATAGTTAAGCCAGTATTACTTTGTAAGCGCATGTTCATTTTTAATCATTTAAATAATTTAGGAATTATTTCGGGGTCCGGGTCAGGATAGTACTGTAACAAATCAGCAACTGGCGCTTCTTGATCTTCATAGAAATCACACGCCAGTAGGTATTCCCGTTTTGAATAATCATCTCCTTTGCAAAACATTTCACCTATAAAAGAAGGTTTTTCATAAATATATAATTTTTATTTGAATAAATGAAGTAAAATATGAAAAAAAGACTGCTCTTAAGGGTTCTGGTGTCACCATCTCTGAGTTTTTAACGAGGCTCCGGCACGGATTATTCATTTCTGCAAGAAAACACTTTGGCCTAAAGAACTGCTGGTCTGCTGATGGCAAGATTATCGTCAGTCTTCCAGACAAGAGTCGAAGAAAAATCGAATCTGAAGCTGAGTTGCGAGCCATTATATCCCTCTTCCCATCAGTTGCGGCCGACAACTCAGTCCCGGTCCCGGCGGATTTATCTTCTGGTGAGGGACAGCAGGCATCGCCAAGGGTGGCTGACGCCGGTGCGGTTTTACGGGGTGCAAGGAAGACGCGGCGTCGCTAGTTAACATAATCATTGTGTAGTGCATTGCATCTGCATTTCATTCAATGCACCATTTGCTATTGTATCACACCGGATTCGCGACGGATTGACCATGGAGGTATGTTTACAATATGGCACATTTTCCGCAATCACCTCTGGTAAGTGCATTCAACACTTTATCTTTCACTTGACAATTTAAGGAGGTGAGGTATTTTATTTTATCATTACTTTACCTACAAAGCGTAACATATCATTTGTTTACAATCTGGTGACATTAGCTGTCAATGTGTCTTGTCAAGTCGGTTGCGTTCCGTTTCTTGCAAATTATACCATAGACTATCACAATAATGAATGTGATATACAGCCTGTGATGACATGTTTTGTGGTAGTGTCTGGTGTGGTATAATAGCTTAATATTATGTACAATAATCTTTTGTTCCCCTTGTGTTTGTATTTGTTGATGCGAATTTGTATTGTTGTTTAATGTATTTTGTTTTAGTCAGCACGTGTGTTAGGCTCCGCTGTAGTGTATTAATTTTTATTGATTTTATTATTTATTTATATTTTTAATTATTATATAAAAAGTAATATATTTATACATTGTATTGAATTTTATATATAAGTATGATTGATGATTTCGATGACAGTTTTTTTTCTTGTTCCTCCTCATCAACTAGTTATGTTAGTGCTGACAGCGATTCCACTATGACTCTATCCGATAAATTGTCTTCCATTCTTCCCAAAAATCGCAATGTCTTCAACGTTGCTCATGTCAACGTGCAAAGCATTCCTGCGCATCATTCAGAACTTCTGGCGTCTATTAACAACTCGACTGTTGATGCTTTTCTTGTAACTGAAACTTTCCTTAAACCTTCCCTTCTCACATCTCAGTTTGCACTTCCTGGTTTTAACCTTATTCGCAACGACAGGACGGGTAAGGGTGGTGGTGGAGTAGCGATCTACCTTCGCATGGATATTCCGTTCCGTGTTGTTAGCATTTCTCCTTCTGCTTATAGTGCTTCAGCTGAGCATTTGTTTATAGAAGTATCCTTTCGTCAAACTAAATTACTTCTCGGTGTCTTTTACTCTCCTAATCTATTTATTAATTACTTTGACAGTTTTGATAAACTCCTTGATGTTTATAGACCAACTTACCAGCACATCATTATAATGGGCGACTTCAACACATGCCTTCTGAAATCCAACTTACGTTCCTCTAAACTTCAGTCTATTATGTCTTCTTATAATTTACATATTCTTCCCACGTCTTCTACCCATCATTTCCCTAACTGCACGCCTTCACAACTTGACCTAATGATAGTTTCTTCTCCAGAGAAAGTGCAATCACACGGGCAAGTAACTGCAAATTTTTCTTATCACGATCTCGTTTTCCTTTCCTATAAATTGAAACCGCCCAAAAGCAAACCCCCTTTATTAATGCGGCGAAACTACAAGGCAATTAATTTGGACCTTTTACGACGTGATGCTGATAATGTGGATTGGTCATTAGTGTATCAGGCCCGATCTATTGACGAAAAGGTCTTTAAATTGAATTCGCTGATACTAAGCCTTTTTGAATTGCACGCACCATTAAAATTAATCAAAATTAAACATAAACCTGCTCCCTGGATTAACAATGAAATTAAAGATATCATGGCACTGAGGGATAAAGCCAAACGTAGACTAAAAAGTCGCCCCTCTGATGACAACCTGGTTCGCTATAAAAGCCTCCGCAATCGCTGCAGTCGTATGTGTAGAGACGCTAAGAGACGATACTTCCATGATTCTCTGTCTAACCGTAATACAGCGGATACTTGGCGATTCCTTCGGTCAGTCGGTGTGGGCAAATCTTGCTCTTCTGTCCCTGCGGGCACCGACTTAAACGCTTTGAATAAGCATTTCTCTCTCCCTCCAGTTAATATTAGCAGCTGCGACAAGGCCGTTACTCTCAAGGAACTGTCTGAACTTGCTAGACCCAACTGTCCACTATTCGACTTCTCGACAGTTTCTGAGAATGACGTCAAAGATTCTTTATTATCTATATCTTCTGAGTCCGTTGGCGAGGATAATTTGTGCTCGAGAATGTTTACTCCTATTCTACCTACTCTACTCCCTGTATTAGCTCACATCTTTAACTACTCCTTGTCTTCCAATTGTTTTCCTCAAATTTGGAAAAAGGCTTACATAATTCCTTTACCTAAGATCCCTAATCCTTCATTACCTTGTCACTTTCGTCCTATTTCTATTTTACCTTTTCTTTCCAAAGTTCTCGAGCACATAGTTCACAAGCAAGTTTCCCATTTTCTTCTTTCGAATAGTCTCCTAAACAGCTTTCAATCTGGTTTTCGGTCGGGTCACAGCACGGTCTCTGCCTTAGTGAATGTCACTGATGATATACGCTGGGCAATGGAAAACAAAGCGTTAACTGCACTAGTATTGCTAGACTTTAGCAATGCATTTAATTCTGTCGACTTTGATATTCTCCTTGCCATTCTTCGTTCCTTAAATGTCTCTACTTCTGCTCTTTCTTGGTTCGGTTCATATCTTCGGGGTCGCTCGCAGAATGTTCGCCTTGATGATTTAACCTCTGATGGGTGTGACCTCTGTGTTGGCGTACCTCAAGGAGGTGTTCTCTCACCACTCCTATTCTCTATTTTCATCAACTCTGTTACTAGAGTAATTTCCTCCAAGTTTCATCTCTACGCAGACGATTTGCAGCTATATCGTCATTTCGATATTGACGAAATGGACTTCACGATAGCAGCCATTAATGAAGACCTAAACCGTATTAGTACTTGGGCACAATTTTATGGTCTCTCAGTTAATCCAAGTAAATCCCAGGCAATTATAATAGGGAGTAGGTATATGTCACGTTCCTGCCGTTCCTCTCACTTGCCGCCAGTGTCCATAGGTGGAATCAACATCCCCTACAGCGATACGGTGAAAAATCTCGGCGTCACAATTGATACTAACCTCTCATGGACAGCTCACGTCGCTAACGTTAGTCGGAAAATGTATTTTTCGCTTCACACTTTAAAATGTTTGCAAAATTTCCTTCCTTTACATACCAAAATTGCTCTTGCACAATCCCTTATTCTCCCACTTCTCGACTATGCCGATGTTTGTTATTTAGACGCTACGGAGGCATTACTTGATAAACTTGAGCGCCTGCAGAATCTAGCTATTCGATTCATTTTTGGGCTTCGTAAGTATGATCACGTCTCCAACTTTCGAAAGGAACTCAAGTGGCTCCCCATACGTCTGCGCAGGAATGTCAGAATCCTTTGTTTCCTCTTCAATATCCTTTACAATCCTTCTTATCCTTCCTATCTTCGGGAGAGGTTTTCTTTCACCCACTCGCCTAATGTTCCTTGCAGGTCCCATCTGAAATCGGTCCTCAATTGTCCTCTTCATAAAACCGAATTTGCATCATACTCTTTCACGGTACATGCCGTCCGCTTGTGGAACTCGCTGCCAGCAGGAATCAGAGACAGTCCAACTGTTGCTACATTTAAAAAACGGTTGAAGGAACACTATCTATCCTCCTGACTCACTGTTTCCGAACTGTATTGCTTCTCCTTTTAACACTTGTATATTTCAATTTAGTATATATGTTTATTAGTATGTCTATGTAGATATATATGTAGGTTTTGTTTATATAAGTAGTGTATTTTGTTATTTTTATTCAGGAGACACACACTGACGACCTTTTATTTTATGTTTTTTCCTTTCGCGGGCCTGCTGGAAGAAATTTCAATATGAAATAAGCAGTGCCCTTGTACAAATTTCTTGTTCCTGTTCTTATCTATTTTATTGTGTGTGTACTAAATTAGTAAATAAATAAATAAATAAATAAATAAAAAAAATGAAGTGACCTTCAATGTCCATTATGTGGACTGGGCTCTTCGATTCAAGTGCTCCTACGCAGTAATGTTCTTCAGTAAGATCAGGATGCCAATACATAATAGCGTCTCTACACGAAGTCCCGGCAATGGGAAGTAATATTCTATCCTGGTGGAAGAAAAATATGAATTTTTACTACACTACTTTATGAATTATTGAGATTAGTGCGTGAGATCAACACAGCAGAGCTCCTCCAATATGGCGCGAAGGTTGATATTTCTCTTACGAGAACTCTTGTGCCCCATCCGACAGTGAGGAAGTTGAAAGGCTATTTATAATAATCAAATGATATTAGAAAACTGTAGCCCCAGATGCAACGTCAATAAAGTAAAATACTCTTCGTAAGTGACTCTTAATTGGTGCTACTGACCTTACATATAATTTTATTATTAACAATGGGCTCTTTGACTTCACCAGTACAGAAGAACTTCCTCTTTTTCCTCATTATAACAGTACTGACGTCTAACACAGTTTTGATACTGTTCCCTGAAAAAAATAATGCTACCGTTAATATACCATCACGTTCACGTGGTATGTTAACTAGTATTACGTTTTTATTATATTGGTCTGTTAAATCATGGTTGCTTTCCAATTACAGAGCATAATGCGACTCAGTGCCGCACAATGCTGAATTATGTTGATGCTTAATTGGAACGTGAATTAGTTTTCAAATGCACCAGCAGCGTGCGCTAAGTTCAGTGTTGAAAAAAAAAGTCAATGTTTGTACCTTCATCCATACTTATATTTATTTTTTATCAGTTTGAATGAACTTTGATTATTTAAAAAAAATTTTTAATGAAACGAAAGCTTTAATAATTTTTCAACAATAAATAATATTACTAACGCTAACATATAAATAAAACATTTCGATCAATGCCAACTTAAAGAAAAAACACTTGTTAATTTTCTGTCTCTAAGTTGGTACGATTGCACGCATCACACGAAAGCATCACTTTTGAGAGTGCTTAATTGTGCGAAGCGTTGCTGTAGTTGGAACACTCAACGTTAAGCATTATGCCGCATAATGCGCTATAATGCTGCAATTGGAAAGCAACCCATAACACTCCCATTTTCACCAGAGGTTAATTGTGGAAAAGAAAAGAGCCCAGTTCATTATTATTTGCGAACACTACTGTTGCAATAGACTTGCCGCTTTTTATCTCACCATCCCAGCCAACCAACTTTATTCACTGGAGAGGATAATAACACAAAAAAATAGTGTTCACGAATCAGGGCTTATATATTCTATGTTCAGCACAGGAGCACTTATTTTTTATACCTGAACTTATTAAACTTTGGATAATAATAATAGAACATTATTATTAGCATTTAGGAGTACCATCTCCACTATACCGCAGGGTTACCTTTTTCGCCATTGATGGCTTCAAGTTCTCTCATTCCCCTTGCTTGAGTTTCCCTGCTATTTTGTTGTTTCATATAATTAGCCAGTCGGTTCATAGCTTCAACAAACTCATCAATGGGACCTGAAAACCGTTACACAACAAATTAGATTAAAGTAGTAAGTCATGTAAACCTATTACAAAAATTCAAATACAAAAAATACAATACAAATATTTCCTTAAGAGGGTTCCCATTAGAGTCAGACCGAAACTGGTTTTCCGGCCGAAACCGAAACCGAATATTCGGCCGTGGCTTCAGTTTCGGCCGAAACCGAAACCGAAACGCACGTGTTCAAGATTAAAATTCCTTAAAATACTAAAATTTGGTGCATTTTACCCATTATTCAGCTATAATTAGGACATGACATGGAAACACAGTATATTAATTTTGTTGTAGGTAATCATTTATTAAATATAAAATAAAAAAATATAAATAATATTTTTATTATTTTTTCAAATTAAGTTCTCATAGCAAAATTTTTATCAGTTATCAATAATCAATTCACAAATTGTTACTGTTTCATTAAATACCCATTGGTATTTTGAAATCTTATTATTTAATACTTTGGTTTGTATTTGTACTTAGAAGTAGTTATCAATCTCTTTTATCTCAATTTAAGAAACTGCACTTCTCAATATAGGATAGACTGCTGTGCGAGAAACGAAGTAAGGCGAGCGTGCACGACAACTTCCGAAATCAGTTTCGGTTTCGGCAAAAGTTTCGGCCTTAATTAATTTTTGGCTGAAACTCGGCCGAAACCGAACTTTCGGTCGGACACTAGTTCCCATACATGAAAAGGAGTTGATTTTTTATCCTTTTTTTCCTTATCATGCGACACAGACGCGAGGCCAGACTCACGCTTTGTCAGTTTTTTTAAAATATTATTGGTATTATGATACTATTTTTACTATCTTTACAATTTTATAGACTCAAAATTTGATTATCTGTACACACCTGTACCAAAGCTACCACCGTCCAGGTAATTAAGAAACTGGTAAAATCTTAATGCTTCATCCGATTCTATTTCATCCATTACTGGTCTCTGAAAAATAACCAATGAAGTAAGAAAGATAAACACGCTCTCAAAATATTTCACATTTTCTATGTATAATTTATCTTACAAATTTTCCACTCCATGCCCCGACATCCGAGTAAAGGGAATTAACTCTACTCGGCATCCAGTCAAGTGTTGAACGAGCAACCAATACCGGGTGCTGCAAAAAATATCACTTAAATTAAGCATATTTCTTTTATTACATTAGCATAATTAACAAGAGCCTACCGACCAAAGAAGCCAGTTTAGTGTTAACATTTTTGATAAAAAATAACAAAGTAATCGATATTCCGTAGCGCCAGTCCACCATTTTTGTAGGTAGGTATAATGAAAGTGCTAGGAAAATGTTTACATACTGCTATAAACTTTATCACCATTGAGGACCAATTAATAGCGCACTAACAAGTGCAAGTGCTTTTAATTGGTACAAATCGACAATTGCTCTGATCATAAAAAACAGCATGACTTCTTCTATTCAAAATATTTTTATTATTTCAAGTTTTTCCATGATTTTATAAATAATAATTATGTATTCATTGTTTGACCCTAGAATTAAGTGTAGTGTATTAAGTGTTGTATTGATGCATGTGACATGCATAAATTATATTTAAATAGCCATTTCCTTTTTGGAGTTTACTCCTTAAGAATCGATTTGCATATATGTATAAGGGGCCCGGTATGAAAAAAATGTGAGGAGTAAAATCTATCGATGAATGACCTCGTTACGTTTTTGGTGCGCATCCTATGTCGCGCAACTTTGACAAACAAAGATGACGGATTGACATTAATAACCATAAACCACTTGTCACTGTAATTAATAATGCAGATAATGTTGAATTAATTAATATTTAAAAAAATGATAATAGTCTGATAATAATAATTACATTATTTATCAACATTCCTAATGATATAATTATCCTCATCTGAAATTGACTATTGTAAAAAGTTTAATGTAAAATATTTCGTCGATTAGTTATAATAAATGTATATGGAATGAATAAATATATATTTATATATGTATATTATTTTCATTAATTTGTTAATTTACCCTTTTATGCAGTATCAACCTTTTTTAAGTTAAATAAACTCTTTTTGCGTCTGGTTAGACTATCGAACTTAAGGAGTAAACTCCAGTCGTGCGTCGGAGCTGACACACACAATTTTTTTTCCTGTCATATTTTACCCAAAATTCTAAACTTATTTGATATTTTCCAGTTCCAGATTTTTTACAAATTTTCTTTAAATTTGTCCTTCCCTCATGGTGTTTACCTCCGGTTTATATCTTATTTTAGAAAAAAGCAAGTTCCCTGGATTCTTCATAATTTCATTTCATGTGATGGTATTTTAAGTCATTTTTCTTATCAAAAATATTTCCTTCTGACTTCCTGTGCGTGGAAAATTTTATCGAATCGATAATTTAAGGGCGCAGTGCACTACATAACTCGGCAATTGTATTGTACGAAATTAAAAAAAATAAAAAATTGTGTGTGTCAGCTCCGACGCACGACTGGAGTTTACTCCTTAAGTTCGATAGTCTAACCAGACGCAAAAAGAGTTTATTTAACTTAAAAAAGATTGATACTGTATGAAAGGGTAAGTTAACAAATTAATGAAAATATATATATATATATATATATATATATATATATATATATATATATATATATATATATATATATTCATTTCATATACATTTATTATAACTAATCGACGAAATATTTTACATTAAACTTTTTACAATAGTCAATTTCAGATGTGCATAAATATATCATTAGGAATGTTGATAAATTATGTAATTATTATTATCAGACTATTATCATTTTTTTAAATATTAATTAAATTAACATTGTCTGCATTATTAATTACAGTGACAAGTGGTTTATGGTAACTAAATAAGACACATGGACGTTCGTAGATACGTGGTTCACGAATCTTGAAAATACCGCATTAATAGTTGTACCATACCTCGTTGTCCCCATTGCTCTATCAGAAATAATATCTATATTCAGTTCAGATTTTAAAATTTTTATTAATGTCAATTCGTCATCTTTGTTTGTCAAAGTTGCGCGACATAGGATGCGCACCAAAAACGGAACGAGGTCATTCATCGATAGATTTTACTCACATTTTTCTCATACCGGGCCCCTTATATATGCAAATCTATTCTTAAGGAGTAAACTCCAAAAAATCGATAAGATTGCAAGTCTGTTTTATTGCACTTTTATTGAAATTTCAGAATTTTAGTCCAGACTTTTCAAATCAATAAATGGTCTTCTGGTCGTTAGACGGCCGCTATACCACCTTCTCAACTGCACCTTTCTGATGAGATCGGAATCATATCAGAAGGCATCACAACACATCGCGACACACAAACATATACCGTACTAAATGCATAAAACCGATAAAGTTCTTACACGTCACGACACAACTCGGCAGACAAATATAAGTCCGGCGGCATATTGTAATTTATGCAATAAAGATACAATCATATTTTTTTTATTGTATTCGCAGATTGTATCGTAACCGAATTTTTGAAAATCACATAAATAAAAAATTAGGGATCAGTAATACAATAGCTATTTTGTAACACAAGGTGTAAAATCGTAAACCTATTTTTGCATGCGCTGCAAAAACTATTGACAACAGAACAAAATGATGTACAACGGGTTTGTAGATCCCATTAAGACCTACAAAAAAGTCCGCGAGAACATATATGTATCTAGCTATCATGGTTTAATCACAATAACCGATTTTGTGTTCAAAATAATTATTAAATCGTCTGAAGAAGAAAAAACTACGTTAAATATGTATCGTAATATTAATCTTTATCGAAATTAAGCATTATGTTATCAAGAGTATTTATGTAGAAGTAAAATACTTTTTGTTTCATCTCAATTGGATATTTCGTTTAAAAGTTATCACGTGTGTAAGATGTTAAGAGTTGGTACCTATTAATGAGTTCTGGGAAATAGAGTTTTTTATTAACATAAAATCCTGTAATAATCTTTCTCGAAATATATTTGTTGATGATTGTAAACGCGGGTGAAACCGCGGGGCACGGCTAGTTTTGTATGAAAAGCATGTTTAAAGTGTCTGTTGCTACAACTTAAGATTTTGTGGACTCTTAAACAATTATTTTACTATAAAGTATATATACTTTTTGAATATACGTGAGAACTTAACTAACTAGTGCTGACTTCCTCAAATAAGCAAAACTTATATGGTACATTTTGTGTTAAAAATTTCAAGAAATATTAGAATGCGTTACACTCACATTCATGTCGATTCAAGCATGGTCCACTTAATTTAGAACTAAATTTAACATAAGTCTCTCCTTTTCATTCTGTGAAGAGAATGACAAGGATACTCTGTTGACATATTTAAGTTCAGGTGTTCAGAGAATCATGTCAGAATCAACACAATTGCCATGTAGAAAGGAGGAAAAAAACTAAAAAATACCTAAGATTATGCTGTATTAGCTTCATTTCATTTGCCCTGTTAATAATGGAGAATATTAAAAATAAATATAACTGTCAATGTCAAATGGCTTTCGCGCCGTTTCCTTTGTCAGTCAATTGCAGAAATTGGCAGATAGGTAATTCAGCGCACTTCGTGTGAAAATTTCTTGTGATCTAAATTTTATTTTACTTCTTTTTAATTCCATAATGCATGTGCGTGTAAGGATATTTGGAAAGCCGGATACTATTGTAGTGGTAGAGTCTAAATTGACTAAGATAGACCAGTTTCGTAAAATCGTTAGTGAAAAATTCAATGTAGCGCCAAAGTTGCAACGATTGTTTTATGGTGGGAAATTGGTAAGAACAATCAATATTTTAATTTATATTAGTGGAAGCTAATAGATATTCAGTAGAGATCGCAAGAAAGACATCAAGAATCGATATAGATTTTTGCTGTAAGAGAGAAACGACATAGATTTACATTACTTATTTGAAATCTCGTTCGTTTTATTTGTATAATAAGTACATTATCAAACAAAAACTGATTGAATTTATGATAGGAAGACTTAATTCCGTTTCAATGGAATGACAAAGATTATTTCAAGAGTCTTACAACTTTGGATTGGATTTTGTATTCAAAAGTGCTTTTAAAAGATAAGCACTTTTGAATACAAAATCCATACTGTGTATGAAGTGTATTTAATTATAAAAAAGTTATCCCAAGCACCTTGAAATTATTAATAATATGAAACTAGTAATTTATGATTCAGAAAAATATCACAGAACTGTTCCTGAGACTTGAGGCCCAAGTGTAGATTTGTGAGACACTTAAAACATGCCTTAATACACGTCTTTACTGCTGGCATTCAAAATTCAATATCTTTTATTCAGTCTAGGCTGTTACAAGCACTTGTGAATGTCGAAAAGCTATGCCATCGGTTCGCAAATCTACGGCGGGAGACCTTGTACTGAGAAGAACCAGCAAGAAACTCAGCAAGGGCTACTTTTTTCTCCCTGTTGCCATTCCTGTATAATCAGGATCGTAAATTCTTGATATGTGTTTTCATTCAAGTCAATCTGTTGTTACAGCTAGAAAATGGCTATACATTCCACGATTACAACATAAAGCTTAATGATGTCATTCAGCTTATGGTTAAGATTCAACCAGACGCAGGATCAGACAATGAAAAGTCTGAAACCAAGAAGAATGAACATGTTGACAAAGAAAAAACTGAGAATGAAAAAATAATTTATACAGGTAAATTTACTGGTAATTTGTATTTGATTTCCTTTAGATTCAAACATCTAGCAGTTAAATTCTTAAAAAATAAAATTATAACCAAAATTGCTATTCTTTCTTTCAAATGTTTAATACTTGTAAATGTATGCATTTGACATTGTGAATTACCTACAATGCAAAGGGATGGCACTGCCTTGCAGCCTAAGATATACTTGAAAATATTTGACACTGCCATTAGGGTTGCGATAGCATAATGGTCAGTGTATCCGCCCGGATATAAAAGGGTGCCGGTTCGTGTCCCATCTGCTGCTTGTGGTTTTTTTTCAAGTAAAATTTTCTTTCGAGTAATAATTTGCTATTTACGAATTCGATAGTAATCTCTTCTTTTGATTCCTTAAAGATGAATCATTCATGGTCAGGATAGACTACTGTCTTTATAAAGAGCTCATATGAATTGCCTTGTCAGCACTAGCATAACATCTTGTATTTGTGTTTGTTTTTAGATTCTGTGAGTACCCTTTACACCATAGGAGACCTTATTGATATGAGGGAAAAGGAACAAGGAGCTTGGTTAGAAGGAAAAATTGTTAGGATAGTTCATCAACCTGGTTCTGTTAACTGTGATACTAGCAAAAGTAATAATGAAGTGAATTCCGATGCTAATGATAGCAAAAGTAATTCAGATAAAGAGAGTGATCTTGAGAACAAACCACCAGAAGAAGAAAGCCCCGAAAATAAAGCCAAAAGGAAAGGCATAGCTAGGTACTTTTCCAAAAGTCCTAAGATTGTAAAGAAAAAATTACCCAATAAAGAAAGTAATGGAAAAATAGACGATTCAATGTTGCTGTACAAAGTTCAACTAGATGCAGAGTAAGTAAAAATAATTATACAATGGTGTCGATTCTGGCATGATAATCTAAACCTAAACTTAAAATTGACTACCTATCTCTATACAGAATGAAAAGGAGAGACTGATGTTAAATTTAGTTTAAAGTTTAGAGAATCTTGCCAGAATGAACACCATTGTATAATTAATTTATAGCTCACCTAATTTAAAACAAAGTTCATAGCTAACAAGCTCTACAAATGTAATTTTTATTACTTATAATAATATTTTTCAACAGTGAAGAAGATTCAAATCTGTATTGCGTACTGAAGGATATAAGGCCAAGGGCACGGACCATTGTCGATGTAGACGACTTGAAAGTTGGACATACAGTCATGCTCAACCACAACACCGATGAGCCCCTGGAAAAAGGTTATTGGTCAGTACCTATGTTTAGTTTTTAACCTGATTATTTTTGTTCAGTACTCTTCATGTTTTTATCACAATCGATATCATGGACTGGTTATAAAGCTATGTAATACTGTTATTGACTAAACACCTCCCTTGATTGCCTCCCATCTTGGGGGAAAACCTTTGGAGGAGTTATACATGACCCAATTAATATTCTTATCACACTAATATTATAAAGACAAGTGAGTGAGTGTTTATGTTTGTTACTTCTTCATATCTAAGCGGATGGAGTGATTTTAATAAAATTTGTTATTGATTAACACATGGGCTATGTTTTACTGCAGGAACATATCCCTAATAAACTGTGGGTAACACCTCTGGGCACAGCTAGTTACATAAAAGTTTTATAATTGATGTGTTACACAACTTTCCTTTCCTGCAATTTGTGGGAGTATTTGCGTAAAGTGGGATGGAAGTGTGTAACAGGAAGTTTGGGGAGCGCGCGCTATTTGATTTGATTTTAGAACATAATGTTCAAAGGGCTTATTACTTTTGTAGTAGGTTTTATTTCTTTTTTTACTAATATAAGGTGAGGTTTCAAATGTTACACATCATATGTGACTACTGTAAGGCTCGCTCGATTTTTTATAGGTATGACTTCAAAGTAAATGAAATCAAGAAGCTAAGGGCAAGTTATGAGTTGGTTGGGACCCTCTATTTGGGTGCTGAAGCTGTTCCCCAGGACGACACTAAAGTAAAAATTCATGATAAGATATTTGTCATAGAAGAAGTAGTGCCATTATCAGAAAGAAGTGATGAATACAAGAAAATGATGACAACGCCACCTGAAAAAAGTAAACATACATAGCAAGTATATTTAATATCAAATCCTAATTAAATATGGATTATACATTTTATATTTTTTTTCATAGGATCAGTACCCTTGAATTGTTTGACCTGTCGAGATGACGAAGAGGCTCCATGTAAAGACTGTGGCTGCTATTTATGCTTGGGAAAAGAATTCCCTGAAAAGGTGGGTATTTATACATTTTTAGGTGGTAGCATAGTTTGCAACTTCCCAACAAAAACTTATTGGCTTTAACATATTATTTTAAATTACAATGTCTTGTCTAAAGAGTTGGTGGAATTATGTGTAAATAATATTTGATAAAGTAACTGAGCAGCTGGCGAACAAAACGGTATAATTACATAAAATTAAATTTTACAGGAGCTGTATAAAACTGAATGACATATCTCCAGTGAGCTTCTGGCATAGTTTTTTAACTTATAAATTTATTAATTTATTATAACACTGTTTTAGGCGGTTTTGATTGAAAATTGTTTGAGATTTAAATTCAACAGACCTAAAACCTCCAACGTAAAAAAAAGTACTTTGACCAGATGCATAATTATACCGTTTTGTTCGCCAACTCCCCGATTGTTATTACTTGGCTGTGTTTAGCTTTTTTGGATCTCTATATAATAAATGTATATGTTTCATAACATCTCACAGATAGTATTATGTGATGAATGCAATAATGGGTACCATATGAATTGCCTGTCACCACCACTGAAAGAGTTACCCGAGGAAGATTGGTACTGTCCATCATGTAAAAGAGACCCTAATGATGTTGTTGCTCCCGGGGCAGCCAAGCAAATGAAGAAGAACACTGGCTCTAAGAGCAATAGAGATTGGGGACGGGGAATGGCTTGCGTTGGTAAGTGCCGTTCTAAAGGTTAATATTTTATATGATACTGCTGTTGCTATGAAATATCTGTATCAAGAACTGATATATTTTGTGTATCTTATTGCTCAAGAGTAATTTACATAAAGAAATATTTGTAGTGTTTATTAATATCTATTATATTAAAAAAAGTTGTTTGCTGGCCTAATTACATATTGATTTTTATTTAATTGGTTCAACATTCTTGCGGCGTTCATGCGAGTGCGAAATTATGTGATTATTATATGAAAGTTGCGTCAGAAATATTTAAGAGTCAAATTTAAATGCTAAGCTTATCAAATTCTCATATTTCTGTGCCATTGGGAGATCCCCTTATTTTCTGCTCATCATATTGGATATAAAAAAACAATTTAACACATTTGCGAATTTATTTTTATTGTTTTTTGGAAGACATGTTTATTAAGCGAGTGACAGTCCATTTTGATGTTGTTAAAAATATTTTTTAGCAACAAGTGTTAAGTTTTGTTCAATGCCGCTATTAAAAAGTTTTCTGCATCCAAAGTATGCAATCTTAGATTAAAACAAATATAGAAGATATGGTATGCTAATACTAGCATCAAATAAAATATTTTATTTATTCGGTATACATAACATGTTACAATCAACAAAGTACTAACTTATAATAATTGAGGAATCAATCAAAATTGCAACACTTAACATGCATACACAAAAAATTTCGTAATATAAAACAATATAAAACATCGATATTAACTGTTACATTGCATTAAATTAAATTCATTAAAATAAAAACAAATTGAATACTATAGATTAGATAAAATTACTTACAATTGATTTAAATATATGTATTACATATATTACATTTATGAAATTATATTACATTACAATATGCTCCTATTTAACTACATAAGCAAGTCACACACGCACACGTCTGTAAATAATCATTCAATCGCGCGAGCGAAACTGAGCTGTATTGTTGGCCTTTTCACGACAAACCGTGATTTTTGAGAAAAAAATATTTTTACAGTTTTACGAATGAAAAATGTTGCCGAGGCATTTGTTATTAGATTTTGAACTATTTGTGTTCTTTATAAAAGCATCGAAGGCATTGTTTTATCTTTTATAACACAGAATATACGCAATATTGTTATATTGAGTGCACATGCAGCATGTTTGAATGTTCAATTATGACTAAAGCGGATTGTGGTCATGCACCACAATTTAAGCGGATCACTTTTGAGCCGCGAGTGCCGTATCTTCCTTTTTTTGTTTTAACCTAAGAATGCAATGGAAGTTTATTAATTGACCTCCACTGTTCCTCTATCTGCCTGTCAACAGGCTGTATAATATGGACTGTACTTTATGAAGTATTGGTTTCAAATTAATTTATTTTTCTCTTGCTGCTAACAGAATCCTACTTAATATTCTAAATGTGAAAGTTTCGATGTTTGTTACACAATAATTAACGAAAATCGGCGGAACGGATTTGGATAAAATTGGGCGCACATACAATGCCGTCCTCAAGTTAAAACTCGGCTAAATGACAAAACCAACTTTTGAGATAAGGCAAAAACGGCGCGTATACTTCATATTATAGCTATTTTGTAAGCATTCATCACATGACGAATTTTAAGACTTAAACTATAAAAGATACGAATACTTGTTAAAGACGGATCGATAGAGAATTAAAAACTGTATAAGATGCAATTTAAGACTGAAAAATCGATCACATGTCACTTAGCCCTAAAGTGAGGCTTTGAGGACGGCAGTATAATTGTTTTATATTATACTCTTTATTGCACACAAAAATTGTAAGATACCAAAACATAAATATGTGAGCAAAGGAGGGCTTTTCTCTAAGAGAGATCTCTTCCAGCCAACCAAGGTTTAGTGAGAGAAAAAAGTAAGCAGGTGTAGAGATGTGCACTAAGTACTTACTTGCAGATTATATACCTATCTAAGACTACATACATAAATATATATTCATATGTATATACACAAATACTTACAATAAACACATACATACACACATACAGACATACATACAAATATATATATACAATATCTATATACATACATACACTATAAAATAATAAATACACATTACATGAAATTATGTTAAGATAAAACAAAGAGTGGAATAAATAGACAACTAAGAGTGTGAATTAATTTCCAAAAAGTGCTCTTTGGACCTTTGCTTTAAAAGAGATAATAGAATTATATTACCTGGATTGAGAAATAGCATATTGGACCCTTCATCATGTAATAAATGTTAGGTTGCTACCTTAATCTCAAAAAGCTTAAATTAACGCGAGCGTAGTCGCGGGCGGAAACTAGTATAAAAACATAGTTTTTTGCATGGATATTGTAAATATCAACCGTGTACTAACTTTATACAAAATTAATTGATCTGTACATTTAAAAACTGGATTTTGTACAATATTATTTATACTTACTTAAGTATGAAAATAAATTCATAATGTCATTTTAATGTTGCATTCATTATGATTTTAGTCATCATTACTACTTCATATTGCATATCTACTTGGTGCAGGCTGTACACACTTATCAAATAACTATTTGCATTCCAATTTCGAATATTGTTGTATTATATATTTATATGTAGAGCAGCTCGATGGCGCAGGCTGCTAGCGCATTCGGCGGCGATCGTTGACGTTAAGAAACTTTCGCAGTGGTCGGTCATTGGATGGGTGACCAAAATTCTTCTATCTCGAGTTCCTCCGTGCTTCGGAAGGCACGTGAAGCCGTTGGTCCCGGCTGCATCTGCAGTCGTTAGCACCCGCCAATCCGCACTGGGCCCGCGCGGTGGGTAATGGCCCAATCTCTCTATTCCATCCATAGGGAAGGCCTGTGCCCCAGCAGTGAGGACATTAATAGGCTGATGATGATGATGATACAGGGCGTAAAAAGACTTTCGACATAGCGAAAGCCACTTATTGTAGCCATCATCAAGATCATTTTGTTTACCCAGGTATAGTCTTTCCCTGAAAAATCAATAGATATGAAGTTATTGAAGGTAAAAGGTAATAAACAAATTCCAAGGTTTTAATGGAAGCAAATTTTAAAGATCATTTCTTAATTTCTGACCTAAGAAACATTATCAAAATTTTAAGTATATCGTAACAAAAGATAGCTTTCAAAAGCCATCACTTCATATATGTCTACAATAAGCGTAAACACACAAACGCTGCCTTTGAACGAATCAACTCAGCGCCGTACGCCGCGCTATAGGTACCTACTATTTGCAATTTATTTTTAAATAAAATAAATAAAAAAAAAAAGATACGTTTTTTCGTTTCATCTGTTGAAGTGTAACTTCCTTTTCGGACAGGCTGGATATGGAAAAATCCTATGAAAAAAAAAGAAAATAATATATATGTATGTGTGTGTCGGAGCATGAAAGTTGGAGGGTAACTCGGCGAAGGCTGAAACGCTACGAGCGTCACACGCGACAATATATCGATCTATCCATAGGATAAAGCTACTTCTGCATAACCCCTACTTTACACTAGAGCGATTTGAAGTTTGTAAGATGTAAAATTTGCTTTAACTTGTATTGGCATTTTTCTAGCATTTTTTTTACCAATCATATAAAGCATTGAGAAGCAAATTATGACGCATTTATTGTTTAAAAAAACTATATTTACGGCTCATATTTTGTTATTTAAGAGTATCTTATGTGATTATGTGACAATTTACTACGGACATCTTTATGTTATATATGCATATCAGACCTTATGCTTGGGAAATGTGTCAACAATATGTAAAGATATAGCTTTGTTTTACAAAATTTATATATCATGTCGCGTCACATTATGATAATATGGCAAATAAGAAAAAAAATATCAAACATTTAGTAAAAAGTCTCAGTTTGTAACAAAATTGAAGCCTGCACGGCTGCTTTCTTGCCTATCCAAAAGGTAAAGATACTCTTGACTTTATATTCTTTGAAACGAACATCACATGTACCTTTATTAAATTGCTATCTTCGAAGTTATATAAGTTTTAGAATAAATGTTTTTACCAGTAAAATATATGCGTCCATTTCGCCTAAAAGTATAATAAAAGTAATTTGATAACATTTTCATATGTAACTTTATTCTATGCATAGGTCGATATTTGTATGAGTCCCCCTATGCCTTATGTACCGCCTAATGTAAGATTATTTAAGAAAAGAAGTTTCACTTCAGTGCATACATTTTATTTTTCTAAGTTTCTTATTTTGATGTATATAATTTGTATGCTTCGACTTTGTCGAGGCAAACTTGTTGTAAGTTTGGGGTGTATAATATTTAAAACAAATCATTAAGTTTTTCTATTTTCTGTTGTGATGCAGGTAAAACCAAAACTTGTGCGATGCCTCCTAACCATTTTGGACCCATTCCTGGAATTGAAGTCGGCATGTGTTGGAGATTCAGGATACAGGTATGTTTGTTTTCCCATTTATGTCTTGCTGTTTACTTGCTCACATTCTCTGGTCACCTCTGTAAAGGACTCGTTTAATTTTTATAATAAAGTGGTTAAGCGATGGTAAAGTCCACTAGTGTATATAGCTGTTGCAGCAGTTATGAACTGCCACACCAATCACCCCCCTCTTGCCGGCCTTCACAAATTGATTTTCCTGGTATATTATTGATAATAAATATCAAAATAAAATAAGTTTCATAAAACTTGGATAAAGTTTTTGAAATTGATAAAATGAATTGGTCAAGTTTCATGAAAATCAGGAGAGAATATATTTGTTTTTTTAGGTTTTCACGCACACGTTGTCAAGTTGAAAATTGACTTCAGAGTTACTTCTGAAGTCAACCCTCCATTACATCATTTAGAATATAGATATATAGTTACAATAAATGTTTTAGTTAACTTTATACTTAGTATATAAGAAGCGGCATTAGATAGGTACCATATTACTTATTAACAATTTAGCAATAACTTAGCGTGTATCTATATTAGCTGCCTTCTAAACCGACATCAACTTAGTTTGTTCACGTATCCATCCATTGTTGCCACCGAACCATTGCTAAGGTCGATAAGCAGTTGACTGCTATTACATAGAATCTATGTGTACATAGAAGACGACGTGTACAGAGGCAAACAATTTACGTACATAGGCAGTGGGTGCCGGGACCTCCCCTGCTTTCTGACCCGAAATAACAGATTATATTCTGTACTTTATGCCAATATAATTAAGCTGTAACATAGCGTGTATATGTATATTAGCTGCCATCTGAACCGTCATCAATCACGTATCCATTGTTGGCACCGAAGACAATGCACCACCACTAAGATCGATAAGCGGTTGATTGCTATTACATAGAATGTATGTATCCGCGTTAGTTATCGGAATCGGGCGTACACCGCCCTCCAGTGTCGGGCATCCACGGGCGCGACGTGGAGGGCGCGTACAGTATCGTCCTATCGGGCGGGTATGAAGACGACGTGTACATAGGTAAAGAATTTACGTACACATTCAGTGGGGGTCGGGACATTGCTTTCTGATCCGAAATAACCGTTTATTTCCTGTACTTTATGCCAATTTAATTATGCTGTAACATAGCGTGTATATGTATATTAGCTGCCATCTGAACTGAACCGACATCAACTTAGTTTGATGACATTGCACCACACTTAGGTTGATAAGCGGTTGATTGCTATTACATAGAATGTATGTATCCGCGTTAGTTATCGGAATCGGGCGTACACCGCCCTCCAGTGTCGGGCATCCACGGGCGCGACGTAGAGGGCGCGTACAGTATCGTCCTATCGGGCGGGTATGAAGACGACGTGTACATAGGCAAAGAATTTACGTACACATTCAGTGGGGGTCGGGACATTGCTTTCTGATCCGAAATAACCGTTTATTTCCTGTACTTTATGCCAATTTAATTATGCTGTAACATAGCGTGTATATGTATATTAGCTGCCATCTGAACTGAACCGACATCAACTTAGTTTGATGACATTGCACCACACTTAGGTTGATAAGCGGTTGATTGCTATTACATAGAATGTATGTATCCGCGTTAGTTATCGGAATCGGGCGTACACCGCCCTCCAGTGTCGGGCATCCACGGCCGCGACGTAGAGGGCGCGTACAGTATCGTCCTATCGGGCGGGTATGAAGACGACGTGTACATAGGCAAAGAATTTACGTACACATTCAGTGGGGGTCGGGACATTGCTTTCTGATCCGAAATAACCGTTTATTTCCTGTACTTTATGCCAATTTAATTATGCTGTAACATAGCGTGTATATGTATATTAGCTGCCATCTGAACTGAACCGACATCAACTTAGTTTGATGACATTGCACCACACTTAGGTTGATAAGCGGTTGATTTGCTATTACATAGAATGTATGTATCCGCGTTAGTTATCGGAATCGGGCGTACACCGCCCTCCAGTGTCGGGCATCCACGGGCGCGACGTGGAGGGCGCGTACAGTATCGTCCTATCGGGCGGGTATGAAGACGACGTGTACATAAGCAAAGAATTTACGTACACATTCAGTGGGGGTCGGGGACATTGCTTTCTGATCCGAAATAACCGTTTATTTCCTGTACTTTATGCCAATTTAATTATGCTGTAACATAGCGTGTATATGTATATTAGCTGCCATCTGAACTGAACCGACATCAACTTAGTTTGATGACATTGCACCACACTTAGGTTGATAAGCGGTTGATTGCTATTACATAGAATGTATGTATCCGCGTTAGTTATCGGAATCGGGCGTACACCGCCCTCCAGTGTCGGGCATCCACGGGCGCGACGTGGAGGGCGCGTACAGTATCGTCCTATCGGGCGGGTATGAAGACGACGTGGACAGAGGCAACGAGTTCACGTACACGGGCAGCGGAGGCCGGGACCTTTCCGGGAATAAACGCACCGCCGAGCAGTCCTGCGACCAGACGCTTACCAGGGAGAACAAGTTTGTATACCCATTTCATCATCATCAGCCTATTAATGTCCCCACTGCTGGGGCACAGGCTTCCCTATGGATGGAATAGGGAGATTGGGCCATGACCCACCACGCGGGCCCAGTGCGGGTTGGTGGGTGCTAACGACTGCAGATGCAGCCGGGACCAACGGCTTAACGTGCCTTCCGAAGCACGGAGGAGCTCGAGATAGTAAATTATGGTCACCCATCCAATGACCGACCACTGCGAAAGTTGCTTAAATTCAACGATCGCTGCGGAACGCGCTAACCACTTGCGCCATCGAGCTCCTCGTATACCCATTTATTAGTCTGTTTTTCCGGACCTATATAATCTGGGGGCCAATCGCCTAACGGAAATGCTTTGGGAAACGCTAACGCTTACGATTTTATATTGTTATTTCTAGCCGCCTGAGGTTTTCGAATACCTCACGCTTATTTTTTTTGATATTGTTATTACCAATGCGAAAGAAAAAGAAAGAGCGCGAGGTATTTGAATACCTCAGGCGGCTAGAAATAACAAAATAAAATCGTAAGCGTTAGCGTTTTCCAAAGCATTTCCGTTAGGCGATTGGCCCCCTGGACATCTTCTAGGCGGGCGTGTACCATCCTAGGCCTCATCATCGCTTTCCATCAAGCGAGACTGTGGTCAAACGCCTTGCCTATTAAACATTAGAAAAAAACAATATTAACTACCCAGGAATACACTAATATTATATAAAGGTGAAAATTAGTGAGTATGTATGTTTGTTATTTCTTCGGGTCTAAATGGCTGGAGCGATTTTAATAAAATTTGGTATGGAATTAGCTGACACCCTGGATTAACACATAGTTTTACTGCGGGAAAAGATCCCTAATAAACCGCGGGTAAAACAGTGGGGCACAGCTAGTTATCTATAAATGACTCTTGCCATGCTCGGAAATAATTATATACTTCCCGCTTTTGAAGATGGCAGATTTAATTTGTAACAAAGTAGGACTTCACAAAGCAACACCCATTAATAAGTAATTGTATAATGTAACTGATAGATATACGTATAATGATTAACTAGCAAACCAGTGAACCAAATGTTCACCAAAAAAAAATGTATTTAATTAATTCAGAACTTCGGAGATTTTGTGTGGTTTCGTTTGAAATAGAAATCACGTGATTTCTCGAAAACCGGAAGTGCTACGTTACTCACATCCGGTTTGTAGTCTTATCACACTATTCTCAACTTATAACTTAAACATTCTCTTTATCTATCTCTTACGGTTTGGCCGCTGAAACAGCACCACGGACGGACGGACGGACTTGTCTAATAGATAAGATGATACATACTTATATTAGTACTAGCTGACTCGGCGAACTTCGTACCGCTCAAAAGTAATAATTTGCAATAAATTAAAATTGCGACTATAATTTGAGATTTAAACTATCCTATCTCTCAAGTTGGATCGAACTGCACATGGTGTGCGAATTTTATTATAATCGGTTCAGTGGTTTAGGAGTCCATTGAGGACAAACATTGTGACACGAGATTTTTATATATTAAGATATATTTAAGGAATTCATATATACAAAAACAGAATCTAAAAGTGTATTACTTTACTAAATTTGTGAACGTGGTTCTATTCACCATACAAAAATTTGCCCTAAATGCGATCCGAAAAAGTTTCTCTGCAGATTCACATCTGTTAACAGCTATGACTCTACATGCTCGTATTCATCATACAAAGATTTCGAACTCGGGTCCTCCGAATAGGTGATACCCTGTAACCCAGTGGACATACCACTGACACTACGGAAGTTGTTGAATTTTCACTCATCATTGCCAGCGAATAAGGTTCCAGATCTCCACAGAGTAGAAGATGGCGTAGACAACAGCGTCAGTGATATTTTTGGCATCACAAACGTTTATAGACTATGCTTCTTTGCTAAATGAACCCCAAAGTCAGATTTCTGTACATTTAATAGGTTACAATTTTACAATGAAAGTTGTAACTTATTATATGTACGAATCATCATCAGCCTATTAATGTCCCCACTGCTGGATAGGCCTTCCTTATGGATAGAATAGGGAGATTGGGCCATGACCCACCACGCGAGAACAGTGCGGATTAGCGGGCGCTAACGACTGTAGATGCAGCCTGGCCAACGGCTTAACGTTCCTTCCGAAGCACGGAGGAACTCGAGATAGAAGATTTTTTGGTCACCCATCCAATGACCGACCACTGCGAAAGTTGCATATAAGCTTAACTTCAACGGTCGCAGCCGAACGCGCAAACCACCTGCGCCATCGAGCTCCTTATATACAGGTGTAAAAAAACCTATGACAAAGACTTAAACTACGCATTCTCTACACCCAAACAAGTCATTATTACAAAATATTACACGTGAGAAAAATTTGTATTTTATATTAAAAAAAATCATTGTTTTCCCAGTACGTAATGTATAGCGCGGCGCTTTAATGTGGCGCTACGCAAAGAATGTGCCTGTGTGTATGAGTTTGCGTGTTTCTAAATAACGCTTTGAAAATATTAATGTATAAATCTTGAAAAAAATATTTTGGCTTTGACCTTCAGTCTCCATTACCATAAATTTCCCAGGTATGGTCCAGAAGAAAAAAATGATCGTCATGATGTGGAAAATACGTGGCCTTCGACTTCGTTATAGGTTTTTTTACACCATGTATACTTGCATCGGGGCTAGGTTAATTGATGTTAGTTTGAGAGAAATATTTATTTTACTGTTTCAATAAACATTTGTATGTAGAGTACGACTATCAATCAGTCAACGCCTCACGTATTTCGAAGGCGTTTGTTGATTTTCCCTGAGATGGCAATCTTGTTGGGAAGTTAGGAAGCTTCCCTACTCATGTTATTGAGAAAAATACACCGTTGCCATTACAACAAGCGATCTAAAGAAAAGTTTACTAGAAAAAAATCCACGCGGACCAGGCAGCGGACGGGACTCGAACCCGCACCCTTCGCTATCCGGGCGAATGCACTGACCATTATGCTACCACGGCCCTATTCGCCGCGTCGAAATTTTCCTAGCCTTAAGCTGCAAGGCAGCGCTATCTCTTCGCATTGTAGGTAATCCACAATGTGGATTTTTTTCTAGTAAACTTTTCTTTAGATTTAAACATCTAGCAGTTAAATGCTTAAAAATAAATAAAAAACATAATAAGTGATCGTCAAAGTTTTCAGTACGGATAGAACTATGTTAATAAGACCGAAATTTCCACAGAGCCCTAGCTCGCAATTGCGCCGTGAAGGAAATCAGCGAAAAGGGCGGTGATGCGGGGGACAACTGGCGCAGCGGCAAACCCGTACGAGTGGTGCGCTCCTACAAAATGTTGAAGCATTTCCCAAAATACGCTCCAAAGGAAGGCATACGGTAAGTGATTTTTTTTAATATCTACTAGCAAACCAGTGAACCAAATGTTCACCAAAACATGATTAAAAAAAAATAATAATAATAATAATGTATTTAATTAATTGAGAACTTCGGAGATTTTGTGTGGTTTCGTTTGAAATTCGTGATTTCTCGAAAACCGGAAGTGCTACGTTACTCAAATCCGGTTTGTAGTCTTATCAGACTATTCTTAACTTATAACTTAAATATTCTCTTTATCTATCTCTTACGGTTTGGCCGCTGAAACAGCACCACAGACAGACGGACGGACGGACTTGTCTAATAGATAAGAGATACTTAAAGGGGCAGTCCATTAATCACGTGAAGCTCGAAGGGGGGGGTCCATAAATCATCACGAAATATAACAGGGGGGGAAGAGGGGTGTAGTAATATATCACTAGTATTTCCATGGTCCGAGGATACTGTACATTCAATAATGTTCATTTATTAGTACAAGAAGTTTTTCGCATTTCTCATTATTTTTGTCAGTCAAAAACAACCTGCAACCTTTCTGTCGTAATAACTAAGTTAGTTATTTTTGGTAGTCTTTTATTTTCTATAATAAAATTAGATGATACTGATACCTGTATTTTATAAATATTTAAAAAAATAAGATTCATTGTAGGTAGTAAAAAATACACGTGATTTTCCTTTTTTGGCGTAATTTGTAATTTAATTTACAGTCATTAGATTTCAACGGACACCTTTGTTTAATATATTTACTTTAAAAAGGACTTTTAATTTTACCGGTTTGGAAAACATACGAATCATTTTTAACGGTTATGGGTGTAGTAACATTCAACCAAAGACTGATCGAAGTTGCTTATATAACATAAAAACAAATCTATTTTGTAAAGATCGATAAAATAAATCATTGTTTTATTACACTATTACACGGTATTAATATCCACAACTATATTTTCATTTTCACTACATGCAAATGTGCTCAGACAATTATTTAATATAGTAGGCGACATCGTAAAGTCTATTGCCATACATTTTTCGCCAAACACCTCCATAAACACATTATAATCTATTTAGACTTTAAGATATCTATCTATGGGCCTATGTTGCCTGACTATTAATTAATAAATAAAATTATAAGGTGTGATACACTAAAAATCTAAAATATGGTTATCTTAAAAACAACAAAAATAATGAAGCTACTGAATATATGGCTATAGAACCTAAATCTCTTAGCTTTCTTTGGTTAACGAGAGTTTAAAAATTCTCTCTAATCTGTAGCTCATTCACAATCATCACACAGTTTCTGTCACAGAGTACCTTATTATAACCGGAAATGACACCTGATTTTAAAAATTACTCTTATGCATTAACTTTAAAAACAGGCAACTATCTGTTAATCTACATGCTCTATATACCTGAACCTAATCCATAAATTCGGTACTTGGCTTGATTTCCCTAGTTTACTATATAACTTATTTGTTTTTTATTATTTTAATATGTTCAGTGTATATGGTTTATAGAAGTTCTCAGGGGTGTCCGTCAATAATATTCGTTTCTACAGTAATTTATATATAACTAGCGGACCCGACAGACGTTGTCCTGTCTACACGTCTTCGTGAATCTAAACCATTCTCAGATCCCCTTGAACACACACAAAAAATTTCATCAAAATCGGTCCAGTCGTTTAAGAGAAGTTCAGTGACATACACACTCACAGAAGAATTATATATATAAAGATTTCGAATCTAGGAAACAATTTTTCATGATTATTGGTCTTTAGGTCAAACATGTATGGAAGCTGAGCAATCTCCTTTGACATTTGTTGCACCTGGGTCGTAGTTATTGAATGTAGCTCTGTGTGTGTTGTGTAGAGCAGTAGACGGCGTGTGTGTCGAAACATGTTTCGGAAACAAAGTTTTGTGTAAATGTTTATGGTGAATGTTTTCAATAAAGCTTTGCTTGAGACTCTCGGCTTATCATCCTCACCATCATCAAACAACATTGTGTGCATGCAGTATATTCTCGCATGAATGCAAATTCCGAAGATTGCAATTTGGGTTTGTTTGCAGCTACGATGGTATATACAAAGTGGTTAAATACTATCCGGAGAAAGGTCTTTCCGGATACCGGGTGTGGAAGTATCTTCTAAGGCGCGACGACCCCAGTCCCGCGCCGTGGGAGCCTGGCGCTAAGGAATTCCAAATTGTGGTGAGTTACAAGTTAAAAGAACAATGCATAGTTTACCCACATAAATAAATAAATATGACGAGCGGCGTTGAACTACCAATATAATAAATATAAATTATTTACAAAATAAACTCCTAACACAAGCAACTCAAGCCACTTCTAGTACGACGCGGAGCTATAACTGTGATAAAAAATTTTTTCATTTGTTAACCGAGCCATCTATGCCCGAACGTAATCAATGAGCAATGACACAGTTTTTAGTTCTACCCCCGACTTCAATGTATCTCCGTATTTAACCAAATTGTTATTTAAAATATTTTATGTTCTCATGGTAAGTGAATTTTGTATTTTTTTATGAGAATAAAGATCTAAAACCATGAAACCATAAATAAATAAATATTTCCAACACTCACACCAATGAGGATCTGTAACGATTTTAGTTGAGAATGCAGATTTATAGAGCTAAGAATTCCATAAAGTACAGTGGTTAAATTTTTGTTCTACGACAAACATTGACGAAGTTATGACCAAATTACTAAACGAATTTTCCGCGTGGTGGCTGTGACGTCACAGAGCTCTAACGCTCAGGAAAATTGGATTTGCGGAGGCAAATTTTCACTCAGCAGTCCTCCCAGAAAGCTAAATTATTTGTAAAACTTGATGTGTCATACATTGGACGTGAATGTTTACAATTAATATAGAGATGACTGAGCCCGCCCGGTGGGTCATGGACCAATCTCCCTATTCCATCCATATAGAAGGCCTGTGCCCTAGCAGTCAGGACTTTAATAGGCTTATGATGATAGTGATGACTATGATATGTTAAGCTTCCTTTTGCCGTGAGGCCTGGGATACTTAGGATATTTTCTTAAAAGCATTCATATTTGCCCAGGCTTGCATTTTTCTTACAGTAGATTGTAAGCAAGTTATCTGAAAACGCCATTATTTTTAATCATTATAAGTTGTTTAGCAGAAAGCTGAGGAACTGACTTCTGCTCTCTTAAAGTCATTCCGCATACAACAACATTGATGAAAGTCCTTAAAAACTGATGGCAATTCGGACAATTAAATACTTTAAATTATGGCTCGACTTTTCTCTTCTACAGTACCCCGACGGATATTTAGAAGCTGAAGCAGAGAAGAAAGCTCTCAAAGAGAAGAAGGAGAAGAAAGAGAAGACCGGTAAGAAGAACAAGAAGCGGGCACTGCGTGAGAGCAACCAGACAGAGTCTGAGAACGAAGCATCTCCACCCAGTAAAAAGAGGAAAACTGAAGAACAACCGAAGAAGAAAGGCAGACGTAAGTATTAATATCACTTTCGGCGGTTACGTACTTTGTGACTAGGCGTCTAGGCGTTACTTGTGCCTTTATTGTTTACACGAATTGTTTGACGATTAAATTGCTAGACGATGGCTTGACTGGCTTTTGTCATATAGGTAGGTCCGACAAATGACTCCACCCCACCTGATGTTAAGTGACGGTGAAGTCCAGACCCGAAGATCATCATCATCGTCATCATTATCAGCAGTCTATTAATGTCCCCTCTTCTGGAGCACAGGCCTTTCCATATCGTAATAAAAATCGGATTACGCTTTAAAAGCTTCGAAATATATCTCAAACTCAAATTCTGAAAGTATTTTTGCACGATTGAATAAGAAACATATAAATTTATTAAATAGTACTTTTTTTTGTTTTCGAATTGTGGTTGATCCTCAAGGGTTTGAGGTTGCTAACGTTGCTAAAGTTAACATAAACTTTAGGTAATCAACTGTGTTTGTTTGGTGATCATTGGGTGTTTTTTTTTGTTTTTTTGGTATCATATTAATATTTTCCGTTTTTTTAAGGTACCTATTTTAAATATAGTGAGATAAGTACAAAAATAATTATGTAACGTCCACGAGAGCTACTGCCGACAAACTGTTGCACAGTTTGGCAGAATAGAAATAAGTGTTGTACTTAGTTTTCATGAAAAAAAAAATAAATATAAAAAAAAAAGTAATTATCTTACCATGAGATATCTTTGTAATTTGTTTGCAATCCCTTGCAATTATGCATACATTTATATTGTATTTTCTCTAAATGCTCAAAGGTATTTAAGTCGTATTTGTAATAATAATAATTTATATGTAATAATAATTCATTTACTAATTAAATAAAACTAGTTTTAACGGATAAATGCACGAAACTTTATTTATTTATTGACGTTAAAACTAGTTTTATTTAATAAGTGATGTGCATGAAAACCTAAGAAAGAAATATCATTTACTAATATTTAAAGAAATCATTCTTTGAAATACAGCTCCAAAGAACAAAAGCTTACAAGAGAGTCCTAAAGCCAAGATCCCCAGTATATTCAATATAAAAAGTCCAAAGAGTAAAAAGGAGCAGAAAGTCGACACTATACTCAGCACTGAAGAGAGAGATGCGATCAAATCGGACACTGTTAACGCTAAACTGTGGGAGGAATGTTTGGAAGTTTGCAACGCCAAGGGTAAAAAGGTAATCACTTTTATATAAAAGTAAATTCACGTGAGTAGAAGCATGTAAGCCCAAGACGAAGTCAATGGCTTATATAGTCACGAGTTTATAATACCAATCCGCACGATTGTCATACATCGTTTTTGAACACATTTGCGAGAAAACATTATACAGGGTGGTCCAACTAGTGATGTCAACAATTTTTTTTAGCATGCGGAGTTTTTAATTTTAGCCAGAAGCTATGGAAACTCCTTTTTCTATTTTTGTATTGAACGTTTGAGTAAATCCTACTAAAAATTAAAGATCCAACTTTCAAGCCTTTTTTGAGTAACTTTAAGTAATTGCAGGAAGTTGAGTTATTTTTTTATTAAAACAACATTCAAGACAATTATGTCGCAAAAAAAAAATGGATGCGTGTAACTTATGTACGCGCGTGAGAAGTTATACTTCTTTAGCATCATTAAAAATATTTTTTAATTGCATGCAAATAATGAATAAGTTTTGTAACACCATAGTATTAAATATCATCACGCCGCCCGTTACTAGATGGCGCTGTACGCATGTGGATCGCGCTATCCTATACCGACACCGATTGCATGGCACATCATAGGATCAAATATCATCACGCCGACCGCTACTAAATGGCGTTGTACGCATGTGAATCGTGCTATACTATACTGACACCACTTGTATAAGGTGTTCTTGGGAAATTGACCAAGTCATCGCTTCGTAGGTAGGGCCTATTGTCTTGCACGCTATACGCTTCCACCACGTGGGACGTCTTAGTGTCTTGATAATAGTATACATGTACTTCCACCCTTGTGGGATACAGTAATGCAATTTCTCCTACAAATATTGAATAGTAATCACAATATAAGTATTTACTACCTACGCCTATCTTTATTTGACGTCAGTCTTCTCACACTCCCCCTTCGCCCTCCCGCACATTCTTACAGTTTTATTAAATAATAAATATTATAAATATGAAAACAGTGATCAGAGGCGACGAGCGTCCCAACATGTGCGACTAAGAGATCCTATTACTATTTTGTTGGAAGCTTTTTTTCGAGACTTACGAGTAATGTGCGGTTTAGCGGCCGACTTCATGGTGTTACTTTTCTGTTACAGATTTGCGCGCGCATCTTAAAATTTCACTCTCATAATTTTTTCATAACGCGCTCGCGGCTAACTTCATTATGTTACTTTTGTGTTACAGTGATGCGCGCGCATCTTAAAATTTCACTCTCATAATTTTTTCATAACGCGGCTAAAGAAGTATAACTTCAAAAAGATTGCAAAATACCTACTACGAAAAAAGATAAGATTTTTTGAAACCTCGCCGGCAGAAATCATTAAAAATACACAAAAATAAAATATCACTCGAAAACTAAGAAAAATGGCGGAACATACATGGGGTATTTTCGGATACGCCCAGGTGCGAGCAATCTAAAAAAAATTTGTTGACGTCACTAGTTGGACCATCCTGTATATTGTAGTTTGAGTAATGAAGCAAACTTTTTCTAATAATAAAATGGCGCGTATTTCCTAATGACGCCACGTGCGGGTGGTGAAAATTAGAACTAAATGTAGTTCTGATTTTTACCACTCCGTACGTGGCGCGTTCGTCACCTTTTTAGTATTAAAGTGAAATAAAGATATAGGTTAAAATAGTTTCCAAGGAGGTTTGACCTAAATAAAAAAAAACAGCAAAGGATTCGCACGTGCGGTAAAACGTTTTACCGCACGCTCTGTTGTATGGCCCGTAATTTTGAACTTGCAAACAGTGTATAAACAAGCTTCGTAAATGCATTTTTGAGCAAATGCGTTGAAAAGTTTTATGGCTTTAAAAACAAACATATTATTCACTCGTTACCTCCTTCGTACAGGAATTCGTCGAGCATGTGACCCAAGTGTTCCTCTGCATCATATGCCAAGAGGTGGCCGTTGGTCCAGTGACCACACCATGCTTACATAACTTCTGTATGGGCTGCATCAAGCTAGCGTTTAAATCCACGGGACCACAGTGCCCTTGCTGTAGGCAGAGTCTTTCCAAATATGAGCCAGAACCAAATGAACAACTGATGACTGCCCTACGTACAGTACTGACTGGATACGACGCTGGAAAGGTGTAAGTTTAAAAAGTTGAGTTTTAATTAAAAAAAGGCGTTCTTTTTGTTTTAAATTTCAAAGTATGTTTTTCCGAAGGCGTCGTAGGATTTTTTATTACAGCAGCCCCAATTTAGAATAATTTTCATGTGAACCCTAAATTAGATGATTTGATGATATTCTGTTTACTTTTTGATTGTTAACCATTATGTAGATAATTATATTCCATAAAACTTATAAAAGTAAATTTTAAATACACATTAATTGTTTACATACACGTACCTATATAAATGGGTAATATATGATATCTATATGGTATAAGAATATATTTGCCGTTGGCTTAAAAAATAGTTATTTATTATACAAGAGTGGAAAGTTCCTTTTTAACCGCGTGCTCGATTTGGATGACCGAGCAAGCGAAGGATTCTAAAGTTGAATCACGAGCGCAGCGAGTGATTCTAAATTAGAATCCTGAGCGTCAGCGAGGGAAACAAACGAGCACAAGGTGAAAAATCTTTCCACTCGAGTGCAATACGTAACTTTTCATCCCACCTCAGCGAGGAAATGACAAAATGAAAAAGAAAACAATTTATAATGACAAAATATTTAAGCAATAAAACGTGAAAAACTAGAATGGCGCGAAGCACGCAAATAAAACAAAGAAACCAAGAAGGTTCCAAATTTAAATTTTTTCACAATTTAAAAAGTTCTAATCATAAATTTGGCACCATAGAGGTTACATTAAATAGGTTTAATGACGTTTTGAATTTACAATTATATTGAGTACTCATTATATGTGATGTTCTAAATTCAAATCTACTTTGCCGCTCAAGCGAATAAAATAGAATTTTCCAGCCAGATTTCGAAGCGCAAAATTACACTTTCCGAGGTGGTGGGATGAAAAATGTTTTTGTTATGACCAGTTTTATCGTCTTTTAAATGATGTTTGGGGAAGTAACCTCCCCTTTACCGAAGACAACAGTAAAATAACTCTACCATTTGGTGGTGTTGTGTTTCTGTCGGTGAGTAAAGTGCCAGGGCTCCACGGTAGTGTTGCCGATCGATAGTCGACTATCGATGATTAATATCGATTAATCTATTTTCGTAGTCGTCGTATATCGTAATAGTCTATCGATAGGCAACCAATCGAATGACAATTGATCGGCTTATCGATAGTATCGATACTATCAATAGCACAGAAAAAGCCAATACTATCGGATGAGTGAAATACTATGATACTATCGATGGTATCGATACTGTCGATTTTATTTGCAACCGTACTATCGATAGTTAAACAATTTCCAATAGTATTGTTTGCAAGTTTACAATTTTCAGGTATTATAGTCAATCACAAACTATAGTCTAAAACAATCGCTTGTATCGATACTATCGATAGTATTGTTTCAGATAAAATCAACAGTATCGATAGTATCGATACTATCAATAGTTTGTTATTAACGAACTACAATAGTATCGATAGTATCTATAGTATTGCACTCATTCGATAGTATTGCCTTGTTATGAGCTATCGATAGTTTCGATACTATCGGTTGTATTGAGTCTATCGATAGGATACATAATTTTCGAAAAAATCTGTCGATAGTTTTAATATCGATAGTTCGGCAATACTACTCCACGGGGTAGTGATATTTTGTATCGCAAATGTCTATATGCTATGGTATAATAAAACAACTGTTATTTAAAACATTAAACAATTTTATAATATGTAACAATTTTATCCTTGAATATTTGTAACATACTTTTATAATATGCCCGCTTACATTCCGTTTAGTATCTTAAGTTGAATTTGATTGTTTGTGTAAAAAAATATTGTTGCAATAGGGTATTTGACAAGTTTTAGAAAACGATCGCACGTTATTGACTAATGTTTATGGAGTCCGTAAAAAGTGGATATTCATCGTTCTGTTGTGTATTTCAGTAAAAATAACCAAATTAAAAACTCCATTTTCAAGATGCCGCGAAAACGTTTCTCAGAACAATATGACGTCTTACTAGTGTGTGACGTCACACGACTGTTATTAAAACGTTAAACGATACAATGTAATGTCACTTTAACCGGAAGTTTACTTGCGTGTGACGTCATTTTAGGCTCCGCCAATCCCGTCACGTGACAATAGATAAGAAAACTATTATCTTTTTCGTGGGTTTTTAGTAAAATTATGAACATTTTTTTTATAAAAATAGTAAAAACCCCTGCCGATATTCATTCTAAACACAGATGCTGACAATTGGCACTTTATTTTTAATACTGTCAAATACCCTATTCGCTTACTCGCAAAATCAAAGATGCCTAGGTATTCACTCTATTTATTGTGATTTTGTACAAACTATGTTATCGTCTTAAAGTGACTGTGCATTGTATATAATGGCTCAATTACATTTGGTCGTAAGCCCGTATTCCGGGAAAACAAAAGCTAAATTTACCTGAATACAGGGGTACTAGACTCTGTTCATTTAGACTCAGTCGTTTACCCGAATTCCATTGGCAATCGTATTCGGGCTAATTACCAAATGTAATCGCGTCATAAGTTCAAGTAACATAAAGTAATCTCATATTTTCTTACATATTAATAAAAAAATATTTATTCCCATATCCAGTCACTTACATATATGAATTAAATTCAAGTTTTTTATTCCCTCATAAATGAGATACCTAAGTCTTTTACTAACATAATTATGAAATCGTAGTGACATGAATTTTTATTCAATATTCAGTTTGTATAATTATGTTAATTTCACTTCATTACATCTACATTGATCTGATTTAAGCAGGTTTTCTTTGCATAGATTATAACTATGAACATATAATATGAACCAACCAAAAGTCATTTTACAGTTATTACTTTCACTGTGAATTCTTAAGAAGTTTTATTATGTTTCTGTTAAAGATTATACTTAGATTAGATTTACCAATAAATGGATTATTGGTAAATCGAAGAAGCAAATGCAAGGATTTTTTTAACAAAATGTGTCTGGAGTCCAAAGCCGCGGCTGGTGAAGACGCATTGCACTAAACACGTCTTTTTTGGCATTCACTGCGTTCTAGTGATGTTACGATTATCCGCATCCGCATTCGCGAATATTCGCATATTGTTGAATATTCGCATTCACAGTCGCATTCGCAAAATCTGCGATGTTTTGCGAATATGAATATAAAAAAAACAATTTGAAGAAGTTGTAGTTCTTCCTTTCCTTGAAAATTCATTGTTAGACAGCTTGCATTTAGCTCGTTCAGCATCGCAAAGTGTGAAATAAGTCCATATTTCACTAGAATTTGATTTACTCATGTTAATTAATCACTATTCAAACTCACCTCAGAATTCACTTGTTTTGTTTACGAAAAGACCGGCGCGAGCGGAATGACACTTCAGTCGGATGAGTTCATATCAACTCGGCAATTAGAACGAGACTGCCACCATGCCATAGACAATTGGCGCCAATTTTGATCAAAAACATTATATATTCGCATTCGCGAATGTCGATACCAGATATTCGCATCCGCATTCGCGAATGTTCAAAATATTACATTCTTTACATCACTACTGCGTTCCCATGGAAAATACTAAGATTACTGGATTGATAGTGGTAAATGTTCATAATAATCACATAACATAGCTAACTTTTAATAAACCTCAGTATTCACCACAGTTGTTCCTTTTACAGTTACATAATAAACATAGGTATAATTCGAATGAAATTTAACTATGATTAAAAAAAATATTTAGTAGATAGCTGTTTGAAATGATTGGCTTTTTATTTAGCCAATAGCTAAGGAAATTTTAGTATTTTAAATTAACAGTTACCGTTAGGCCCTATGTAGCTTTACGCAATTTCTTAATTTTATGGCCATTTCAATGCTTGGTGGAATAATTGCCATGCTAACAATTCCATAGGCGATTCTTGTTTAGTTCCATATTAAAATATAGCAGATAGATTTAATTTAAAAAAATATTCTTAAATAATTTTATTATCTACCTCCGGTTCTTATTTAGGCTCGGTAAATTTTTAATTTCTATTATGTAAAGATTAATGAAAAGTGAGAGTAATTTAAAAGTATTCTTTTGTAATGATAAGTTTCATAATTTTAAGACGCTAATAAAAGACGAGAAAATTTATATGATTATGCTATAATTATTTGAATTTACAGTGAAAACTCAATTACTTGATTTTTTCTTAAATCGCTGATATCTAGGAAAACCCTATGAAATTTCTTAGGTACAGCAAATCATGTCTCATCCATCAATCAATCTTATAAACAAACAATAATCTGCAATTTTCCTCTGCCGTGTTACCCGCCATTTATTAGGATATAGTCCCGCAGTAAGACGTAGCCTGTGTGTTAATCCAGGGTATCAGCTAACTCTATATCAAATTTTATTAAAATCGCTCCAGCCGCTTAGACGTGAAGAAGTTACAAACATACACACTCGCAAAATTTCGCCTTTATAATATTAGTGTGATGTACAGGGAGTTCCACGGCCATGCCATATGGAGGGAAAGTATATTAAATATTGAAGATAGGGATATTTTACTGAAAGAAGACATAATTTTATTTTTAATAATAAACAGTAGCTGCATTCACAGATTTTTTAAAAATCGCCTGCTAGAACTGGGATTCAAACTTATATATTTTTTATTATTTTATTTAGGGGAAAAATAATTCTCATGTTTAACCCTTTCGACGGTTATCATAAAATACATGTGTTTCTTTGTTACGCATTTTACGAGTTTGATTACCGGTTGTGGCAGGCGATTTTTAATAACTGTGTATGTAGTTAAAAATTAAAATAAAATGATGTCTTCTTTTACTAAAATATCGTATATTCAATATTTAATATACTTTCCCTCCGTGTGGCATGACCGTGGGACACCCTGTATATAACTGAGGCAATATTGTTGTATTATTAAATACATACATACAAACTTATAGAAATGTTATTTAGGTACCTTAATATCGCAGTTTTTGTTCGGTCTTTTCAGTAAGTACAAGGTTTGTGAATTGCGAACCGATGGCGTAGCTTCTTGACAAAAGTGCTTGTTACAGCAACTGAATAAACCGACCGAATAAATGTTGATAATTTTTAAAAAAAAAGATACCAATATTAGTTTGGTTGATCAAGTTTTCACTGTTTTGTATTGTTAATTATAAAAACACGCTTTCTATATTAATGCATACTTTTAAACAACCGGAAAGTTAATCATGTCGATTAGGTTAGTTTTTCTTAGTTAAAATATCATCATTATAATTGTGTCAATGTTTTATTGTGATTTTTTATAATCCTTTTTAATTAATTAGGAAAAAACATCTGAAGTTTTAAATGTA